TAAAGAAGAATCTATTAAGCAATAGAAATTAATCTGTAAATTAAAACATAAAATAGTAAACCAGAAGGAACAGCTGGAGCAGGTGGTAATACAGCTTAAAGCAATAATATAAACTATAATCCTATCTTTATCTCCTATACGGAGGTCCCTACTAAAAGTTTTGGCTGACCGCCTTTTGAGTTATAGTGGCTACAGGCCATTTTTCTGCCAAGCAAAACCACTATAATTAAAAAGGCAGTCAGCTAAAGCTTTTGGTAGGGACCTCCGTATATAGTTAAGTATTATATACCGACGTTATATATACTCCACCTAATAATCTCTTAAATAATATTTAAACGTTATTGTTGGGTATTATAATACTATTGAATAGTTTTAAATTTCTCTTTTATATTATTAATATATTAAACGTAAGCGTTAAAAAGCACAGCTGTATTATACTTAGTGAAATTTAAGCTGCTGTAAAAAGTAAAGTCTATAAGGAAAAAGAGTTATATAACGAACCGTTAACTTATATATTAGTATAGGTTAGGATTTCTAAGGGATAAACTTAGATTCTGGTTTATATTAGCGGAAAGGCTAAGCTAAATGTTTAAGTAATATAAGTAATAATATTATTAATTAATAAAAAGTATTAAATAAATTTAATCTAAATATTATATTTATAACTAATTATTTAACTATTATAAATAAATATAAAAAATATAAACTTATATATTTAATTAATTTAAATATAATTACTTTAAATTATAATAACTTAAAGTAATTTAATTATTATAAGTTAAATTAACTATATAAAATTTTCTTTTATTTAATTAAATTATTTAAAATTAATTTAACATTTATTTATTTTATAAACTTATTATTATAATTATAAAAGTTAAATTATAATAATAATATTATAAAAATAATTATAATAATAATTTAAATAATTATTAACTTAAATAAAAGTAAAATAATTTTATTTATAAAAATTAAAAAAAAAGTTAAAAAAATAAATATAAAATAAATTTATATATATATAATAATTATTTTTTTTAAATATAAAAAATAAACTATTTAAAAAAACTAAAATTAAAATAATTATTATTAAATTTTTAATTATTAATTATTAATTAATAGCTTAATAAATTTATATTTTTTTTTATAAATAATTTAAGTTTTTTTTTTTTTTTTTTAAAAAAAAAAAAAAAACTTTAATATACTTTTTTTATTATATTAATTATATTTTTATTATAAGTTTTTATTATAATAATTATTATTTTTATTATATTTATAAATAATTTTTTATTACTTTTAGTTATTTTAACTATTTATAAATTAGTTTTTAATTAACTATTAAGTTATTTTTAATTACTATAAAAATTCTTTACTTTTATATTATATTATTTTATTAAGTTTTTTAAAATATATAATTTATTTTTAAAAATTATTATTATTTTTTATTATTTAATAAATAATTAACTTTTTTATTTTAATTAAATTATTAAATTATAATTTAAAATATAATTTTATATTATATTTAAACTATATTATTTAAATTTTTATATATATATATTTTAAATTTAGTTTTAAACTTTAATAAATAGCTATACTTTTTATACTTTTACTAATAGTATAGCTTAAATTTTTAAAGTTTAGTTTAATTAATTATTATTAATTAAATTAAGCTATAGATTAATTTTAGATTTTAAACTAAAAGCTAAAGTATAGCTTTTTATTAAACTAATTATTATAATATTAAACTTTTTATTTTAATATTAAATTTAACTTTTATATAATAATTATAGAAAAATATTTAAAATTATAATAGTAAATTAATATTTATTTACTTTATTATTTATAAAAATAAAAGCTATAAATAATATATAAATTATTATTTAAAAATATTAATATATAAGTTAAAAAATATATATTTTTTATAATATTAAAAAAAATATAAAAAATATATATATATTATATATTATTTAATTTTAATTTTAAAATACTTTTATTTACTTTTTAATAATTAAAAAAAAAAAAAATTTTTTAACTTTTTTTTAATATTAAAAATTAACTAAAATAGTTATAAAATAAATAAAAACTTTATTTATTTTATAAAAAATAGTAGTAAATTTTAGTAAATAATAAAAAGGCTATATTAATAAAAGCTTAACTATATTTTATTATTAAAGTATATACTCCATTTGCTTTTTTATAAATAAGCCACTAACCAGTAGATTAATAGTTAAATAGGTAACCATTAGTAAACACCAGCTGTTATATATTTTTTCTTTTTAATATCTTAGGTCAACTTATCCACTTAGACCAAATTGCCTCTGTTTTCAAGCACATACGACTATATCCATTAGAATATACGGGATCCCATCAAGTTCTTTATTATGGTTCAATGTCTCCGATTTTTAGCATTATAGGACCCCGAATTTAGAGTCTCACGATTTCGTTTTTGAAAGACAACAAACACCATGATAAACACTATCCTTTGCGGCATCTTCAAGGAAGGATATCAAAAGCAACACTCTTACCTGAGCAAAATTTTGGCCAAGGCCTAATAAACAAAATATCCAAAGCTCCAGCCATCCATATCAGTTTCATTACCCACCTAGTCCCTCAGTAGCTTAAATTTACACCACATATTAAGCCAGTCCGGCTCGGTGGTAATACGCAACTCTTGCAAGACAAGTCCCAAGGCCACTACATCCCGTGGATTTCCGGGGGTATAATCGACGCACAGATAGGAAATCATATTTGGCTAAGCGCCGCGAAAATACCTCAATTTTAAGGATCAATTTATAATGCGAATGGCAGCGTAATAGTAGGTTTATCCCCATTATTTCCGCGACAATGGCGGATATTGCCACAGAACTAGCGACAATTTGAGCGGAAGTGAACCAAAGTGAACAACGCATTATATATTTCATTCGATACACTCGTTCAGAATAGGTTAGATAGCCAGTTGATACCACAATACTCAGATTGAATCTACTTGATACTCTCTACTCATTGGTGACAAGAAGAAATACATTGCTCGAATACCCAGCCTGGCCTATCCGCCAACATAAACCAGAACTACGGTTTGTCCCTTAGGAATACGTACCTTTACTAACCTTTAGGTGCATGGTTCTCCACAGTTTCCATCACCTACTAGGTAGTCTCCAGCTGCTATATATATATATATATATTACATAACTCCTCAGTGCTTTTTAATATATAGTAGCGTGTGATATTATATATAGTATAAGTACCATATGTCTTATTTATTCTCTATATACAGTATAATAGGTTGGCTGCCTTCTTATGGTAGGGTTATTGAGATATAACACCAGCGCTGTAACGGCTGTATTCCTGGTATTTGGCTCTGCTTTCCTTAGTTAAACACATATTACCATATGCGCCGACCACAGGGGTTCAAGTTCGGCTGTAAGCTCGGCTATGACAGACGACAAGAGTGATGAGACCTAGCGTATTGCTATTAAAAGTATCAGCGTCAGCCGGCACGGGCTCGGACGGATTAATTTCTAGTATTCAATATGGCGGCTACAAACATTTGAATAAGTGAATTTAGACAAGCAGAGGCGTGCTGAATTGCGCCGCTGGTTAAGGGCAAACGCAGAGGGATGAAGACAGCATCGCCACCTGGTTATAGGGCCGAAGCTCGCGGGAGGCAAAGGATAGATGGATAACAGCGCTATTACTCAAGGCAACAGTGCCTTGTTTGGATACCTGTAATATAATTCTATGCCGTAGGCTTAGTATTCATCAGCGGAGAGGTGAGTTTGGGCTAAAGCCAGGAAGAACACCAGCTGTCGGGGCTGGTGGCTGGCTGAAGCGCCTGGAATGTAATTTTTATTTAGGTCTGCTAAAGGATAGATTCACGCTAGTCATCGGGCCTATTAGTATGCAGTCTCTATTGTTCTAGACTCAGCCTCGTATGCTTATTCTGTAGCATCTGATTGGGGGAGGAAGCAATAATACGGCATTACACGTCAATGTCATAAGTTCAGAGGGTTCCGACTTGGCAGCTGCATCCTCAGGTTTCTGGGTTGAAGCTTATCCAATAGAACAGTACTTGTGATAGATGGGAGTAATTGGGTAACAACCAGACGCAGACAGCATCTGGGAGACAATATGCTATGAATGGCACTTGATCGTAGACTAAGGAGATTGGTAGAAACATATAACATCATTCAGGCTGTTTTATGGAGCATTTATATTTCAGCATTCCAGGTAGGACTCCTAATTCCTGCTGTAACATTGCTAAAGACAGGACAGTGTATTTCATTTACTATAACAAGGTGGCTTTTCTTACCCCCACACTTTTCCCCCTCCCTAACCCTCATCTACCGATCATCTCGGCTATCGGCTGCTCGAGATACTTTACATGCGATTAACTTTGCACCATACTACATAGGTACATGCATAGCCACAAGCACCCCGGGAACTGCGTATCTTTTGCGCGGAGAATCTTTCGAACACGGAATTACCGATATTCAACTCAGCCACCACTGTTCTGTAACTGATAAAATGGGATGCTGGATTGATGAGTACACCTGTAAATAGTCGCTCAACTGAATCTCTCGACACGGAATTACCGACATTCAACTCTGCCACCACTGCTCTGTAAATAGCTGATAACTTAGGACGCTGGATTGATGAGTACACCCGTAAATTGTCGCTCAATTGAGTGTAGCTGAGATCTTTCCTCGCCATTCCCCATGAGAATGTCTTCAAGGAAAGCCATGTCTCGCCACACATCATCACAATTCTCCGTTTAATCTCAATAGTATTACAAACTTTGTAGCAAGCCACAGTAGGTAATGGTTGGATATTTTGCTATGTTAGAATGCCATGTTCAGAAAGCACATACCAGGCAACTTCATGTATAAATAGAGGTGCATGTCCCTGATGAAATGGAAATTATCAACAAGCATCCTCACACTCGTCAACAAAGCATCCAACATTCTTCTTAACATAAAACCACTCTGCTCTTATAAGCTGCCAAAATGTTCAGCCTTCTCTTCAAGTCTGCTGCCATCATGACTGCCACCATGGCCCTCACTTCCTCCGCCGCTCCTCAGTGCAACACCAATGCCGACTGTCTGTCTGGCTTCATCTGCGGCCCCGGCGACATTGGCACCTCCACTGACAATGTGTGCGTCAAGACTGGAACCTGCACCAACCAGCCTGATTCTCAATTCCCCAACCTCGGACCAAAGTGCGGCGACTCCATCTTCTGCAACGTCGGTGGCTACTGCGGCGAAGGATATTACAAGTCGGGCAGCGACACAATCCTTACCCAAGTCTGTGTTAACGCTGCCACTGGCGCCAAATGCGCTGAGCCATAGACTTAATGTAACTGGAAAATCCCCAGAGGTCTGGTTACATAACTCCCGGGCGGGCGTTATGCTAATTAGTCCTGCAGCATAAGAATTTCCTGTTAACTACCTCTTGTAATAAACTACGCACTAGATACATAGTTAATATTATAAGAGATTCTAAATTAATATGAAGAAGCCAAGAGAGAGGGGGGTCGTGCACTCTTATGTGAGATGGGGGGTGGAAAGGGGCCTTCTGAATGGCATTTGCTACAGGTAGGTAATTTTTTGGCTAGTGTTGTCCCTTTCTAGCTCTTTTTCCGGCTTTCTTTTTGGCTCTCTTTCTGGCTCTCTTTCCGGCTCTTCTGGCAGGTATAGCAGCATCTCTTCTAGCACTAGCAGCTGTTGTTGTAGCTGATATAGCCGGCTTGTCGGCGGGCTTTGCGGCTGTTACAGCTGCTGGCAGCTTGGCGGCTAGCTTTGCGGCTGTTAGAGCTGCAGGCAGCCTGGCGGTTAGCTTTGCGGCTGTTAGAGCTGCAGGCAGCCTGGCGGTTAGCTTTGCGGCTGGCTTTGCGGCTTGGTTGGATGAATACTGTCCATATGAGAATGAAATCGAGCTTCTGATTGATGTCGAATAACCCAATCGCCATCGCAATGTTCTATGACGTTTATTCAAAATTAACAGCCTTTGAAAAATTAATTGCAATAATAGACTATTTTCCATCGAGGAGGACCAGTGTGTGTAATAAAATTAAATCTTTAGATAATCCATTTACAACCACCAATTTTTGCATGAAAAGTTACATCAAGCTCCAATTCCTCTCTAGATAGATAAGTTTGTTCAAAGGGAAGATCCATTATAGCATAGGCATTGATGTACAGAAAATAGCTATAGGGTTTAATATTCATCTGGAAACACTACGAATTAAAGGCACTCAACGATACTGAGTCGAAAATGGCAAAACCTCGGTTCAGGTTCAGCTTCTTTTTTATCTCTTACTGCTTGCAATGGATGACAGCTTTGCGGAATGTGTCGTGATTGGAGAAAAAGCAGGGGTTGGTGTGGTGGGGTAAGCGGCCGTCGTATCTTAATATTCTACTCCAAACCTACTCACAACGACAAAGTATCTTCAATTGCGTTGGTCTTTGTGCAGTAGACGGCAAAATGGGCGTCGCGAAGTTTTTATTCAACTATAATGAGCAACTCATGGTAAACAACTAATCTTATCATTTACGCACAACTTGCGATTCGGTTACTATTGGCCCAATAAGCGACCCGGAAAAGAGGATCATTGTAACTATCATATCACTAGAACAGCGAGGTAATGAATAATACAATTATGTGCATACCAACTTCGGCTTTTGCTTCAGTTTCTGAAACTTTAGCACTGTCAAGAGTCAAGGCACGAAGAGAAGAGTGATGAGATCAAAGAGGCTGAACCCTGGAGGCTCGCAAAGACGCCGCAGCTAAGTAGACAATAAAGACCTCGTTCAATAAAGAATCGGAATTCGTTTTGTTTTATAGTTCTGTTCAAGCCACAATGCCTAGTCTGGACTTCGTTGCTACTTTGCTGCGAAGAAGCTTCTATACCCCTAACAGGCAATCTCAGATACGCAACCTCCGACAAAGTGGGAGACTCTTGATTTTTTATTTAGAATTGCAGCAGGTTGGATTCCATATGGTGAAATAACTTCTGTTCAATGGCAATGGTTCTCCGTGAACGAGCGGCTATATATTAACAGTATACATTGTCCTCAACAACCATTAACCCATTGCACCAAACGCCGGCAGATACTCTGTCCAATTTGTCGCGATATAAACAGATCCAGGCATCTTCCGAATACTAGAGATCGAAATTGCAAGCAATATCAGGCGAGAAGCGCAGTAGAGAAATCCAGTCACATACAGAACGCCCTGATTAACTCCACGGGGAAGCAGCGGCTTTATGGGCCACGCGTCAGTCCGAGCTGCTTCGTCGATTTTCTTCGTCTGTCTACCATTTACAGCACTGACAAGACGGTGGAAGTTTTCAACAAAAGGTTTGTCGTCGTGCAGCTCAAATGGACCTGTGCGTAAATCTTTAAAGTTGCCCTTCAAGTCCAAAAAGTCTTGAAGACCTAATATAAACGTACTTTCTCCTGTCTCATCTAACGGGAAGATTTCCGAATATTTTTTTGATTTGCCATTAGCAAGAGCAGCCTCTAATTCATTGATTGAATTGCTGGCATGGGACATATTGGAAGTGTGCCAAGAGTACTCCTGCATCAGTCTTAAGCAATTTCCCGCGAATAGCTCAGGATCCCCTGAAGCCTTCGTAAACTGCGCGAAGGGTATCACAAGTAGGCCAACGACAGGGCTCGCTGCAGAAATGCAAGTACATATTTGCCAGAGCAACTTCTCCTCCTCAGTGGGAAACTCAAACTGCCACGCAATGGCATGTATAGCACCAAAAAGTCCAGAAGCCAGTGCCAGTAAATACACTGCTGGATGAACTTCATTGCTGCCCTTGTAAATTGGTATATTATCATTCGGGATTCTGAGTGTCTTCTGGCCCTTTGAGTCAGGTTTCTTGAGGGAAGTTTGTTTATTCAGCATGATTGCCCAAAAACTATCATAAGGCTTTTCAGACTGTAACGAGAAGAACCGAGCTGCAGCTTTTTGAGTATCATCGGCCCTGTTTTGTGGTACGTCGTCAGAATCTCGCACTGCAGGTTCTTGAGCATCGTCGGCTGTGTATTGTGATACAACGTTAGAATCTCGCATATCGTTTTTAAGCTCAATAGCCCGCTCAATATTTTGGGGTTTGTAAAAGTAAGTGCAGTATATCAGCACGCCGCAAATGGCAAAGGATAGCGTGACTGTTTCAAGCTGCGAAAAATGCACACCTTGAATATGCCGCGTAATGATGGAAAGGATGAGTTGCAAGATTTGAAGAGCAGCAAAGAGCTTGGCTAGCCAATCCTGTTTGCTTTTATCTTTGATATCTTCCTCTGTGATCTCTAGGCATAGGTATGAATCGTCCTCTGCCAGCTGTTGAGCGGTAACTGGAAGCCGTTCCTTTCCTTTGATATACATAAAACCGCCCATATTGGCAAAGTAGCAGTGAGCCAGAGTCCATTTTTCTTTTTTTGGTTGATCTTTGGCATCTTGGCTCTCCAGGTTTTTGGCTTCTTGGTCATCTAAGTTTTTGTCTTTCAAGTACCGGCGACAATATGGTAGCCATGATAATGGTGGATTTCGAAACCACCAAGGCCACTTAACAGGTTTTTCTTTATCACTCATTAATCGGAGGGCTTTCCATGCCATGTGAAATTCGAATATAGCGTGAATCAAGACCAACTCAGGGAAGAGCACAGTTATTATCATCCACTTCATTTTCCTCTTGTTTTTCTGAAACTGGGTATCGTCCGTAGCCGGGATATTAAGATGTTGGATGCTCCATGTGCAGGCGATTATAGTAGACAAGCAGGTGCTGATGATATTCCAAGTGCCTCGGTAGCAACCGCCAGGCTGCCAGCCAACGGTCTCATTATCCGAAATTGGACGTACAGTGCAATTGCGGGCAGCTGCAAGCATGGGAAGGGAGGCTGCTAGCCATAATGATCCTTTAATCATTGGGTCGAGTCGAGAGGATCTTTTGTTTCTGCGAAATCTTTTGAACTTGCTTGTGAGTGACTACAGATTTGTTTTGTTGAAAAGAAATACGGGCTGTGAGATTGGCGTAATGTTGTATTCTCGCTGGTTGCCTAACCTCTATCCCTCTGTGATTGCTCCGTGGCATTGATTGATAGGCTGAAACCGTTGGGCAGAAACATTCGTAACACCCCCACTTCGAGATGCCTCTCTTATATACCGATGACCAAGATTCTGCCATTTTTCACGTCTTCCACTGCGCCAATTTGCTGCAACTCGAGCGTTTATTTGACACTGACAGCGCAAGATGCGCAAAGTCAACTCCGATAGTCGAGTCAGCCCCAGCCATTTCGCCATGCCTGCCGCGCGGGTCTTGAGGGGACAGTCAGACGAGTCTGAGCTTATTCAAGCAGCGATGAGAGGCGATGTGACGAACATTGAACGTCTTTTATCGACGGATCACCATTTACAACGTCGTTCGACTCTACTTAGCATTTCCGGCAAAAAGGTCGCTTTGAATATCAATGCTACGGATAAGATGGGGAGAACTGCATTGCATTGGATAGCAAGCCAAGGCCATGGACATTGTCTGGAAATAGTCATGGAGCGCCTAGAGACGAATTTTCTTGTCTCTAACAAAGACGGGCGGACGCCCCTTCATGAAGCAGCCATGAAGGGTCATATAAATATTGTGGAGAAGTTTTTAACAAAAGACACTTGCCACCAAAACATCAACCAGGAAGATCACCACAAACGAACAGCTCTACACTGGGCAGTGTTAGGAGGTTACGAGACGATAGTAAGGATCCTCGTGCAGTATGGAGCTGACGTCAAAAAAACCTCTGACGATAGAAAAACTGCGCTGCATTTGGCTGTAAATGCAGGCCATGATGCGATAAGATGGATCCTGCTTCGTGCTTGGACTGCACAAGTAGGCGATGAGGGAGTCATTCGAAAATTCCTTGACGATGATGAAATTCAAGCCGACGCGAAGGACGAAGAGGGGCAAACACTACTACATTATGCATCCAGGAGCGGACACGAGGCCATCGTCAAGCTGCTGGTTGAAAAGGGAGCTGATATTGAGGTAAAAGGGCAATATGGCTGGACGCCGCTATTATCGGCGGCTACGGGGGCGAATGAGGCTGTTGTTAAGCTGCTGGTTGAAAAGGGAGCTGATATTGAGGCAAAAGATCAATATGGCGACACGCCGCTATTATGGGCGGCTACGGGGGCGAATGAGGCTGTTATTAAGCTGCTGGTTGAAAAGGGAGCTAATATTGAGGTAAAGAATCAAATTGGCCGGACGCCGCTAGCCCGTGCGGCTGCGTCGGGGCGTGAGGCTGTTGTTAAGCTGCTGGTTGAAAAGGGAGCTGATATTAATGCAGAGCATGAAGGTGGCGAGACACCGCTATCACTGGCGGTTAAGTGGGCGCATAAGGCTGTTGTTAAGTTGTTGATTGAAAAGGGAGCCGACATTGCTGATATTGAGGCGAAGGATAAAGATGGCAAATTGATTCTATCAGAGGAGAGGATAGAGTGGTGTAAGGGTATTGCCGCTAGTATAACGTCATCTAAATAGAAACGAGCACTCTATAGTCTGCTACGAGAATCCTTTACTCTGCTACTTTTATCCCTATGTGCTTAGACCTGTGTTTATACCTTGGCTGTGTGATATACAGGCTACACTTCACACCTCTCATCATGCTTCACAGCGAGCAAGCAGCAAGCATGAGAGAAACCCTCACTCTCACCCATCACCAACTACCAAACCAGCATCCCAATCGAACAATTCGCCCTCTCTTCTTCTTCTTCACCATTATCCCTACTCACCGTCCTGACACAACAATACCACCATGAAGAAATAGAACCTCAACATCCTCCCTACTGGTCTACTTTTCCATCAATCCCCCACACCTTCACCCCCTTTCATCATCACCCAAAACTCACCTTCAATCATTTCACATTCTACCAGAAAATAACAAGGCAAATACGCAGGCAAAATCTCAAAATCACATCATCTCTTATAAAAACCTAAAAATGGGTATCATCACCCTTCACACATCCTCCCCACACCACCTCCTCCTCTCCTCCTTCAAACTTCACCCACAGCACAACTACAAACACAACATACAAAAGGGAAATAATTCCCACATCCCTTCATGGGAATAACATCTTCCCCACGTAGGGATACTGAGAACAGAAGACAAATATAAACCACCAGGGTCTATCTAGTCCATCAAAAAAAGAAAAAATGTATCGGCTATGCTTCCCATCCCGCTCCTCCAAGCACAAAAAATTGAAACACAACCAGAAAAAGAAAAAGAAAAAAGAGTCAAAAGATTGCAGCCACATCGTACATCAATACGACCAAAAAACACAATATCAAAAAGGAAAAAAAGAAAAGAGAAGAAAGGAAAAAGACATAAATAGAAGTTTAAATACCTGACCAAAGCAAGGAGAAGAAAAAAAAAAGGAAGAGCAGCTGTAAAGAATAAACCCATCCATCCCCCTCCAAATTTCTCACGAAAAGCAACCACGCCCATTTGCAGTGCCTTTTGCCAACCGAGAAAAAAAATTGTGTGCGCGAGAGTGGTGTATATCTCATCATGAAACATGACATGACAAATGAAAAAGAGGCTTCAGCTTCAAGCTTTAGATGAAAGATGGGAGAAACAAAAGATTTAAAAGAGAGGGGTGTGGTAAACAGCCCGTAATAACAACAGCAAAGAAGAAGAAGCATGCGGTGCATTTGTCGCATTTCAATTTCGTCGTCATGTTGGAAAACTCTTTTCCCGCTGGATTCCTGCAACGCCCATGATGGCTAAATCTGGTCCGACAACAACAAAAAGACAAAAGATTTTCATACAAAGATGAAGATGACAAGCCGTGCGCCGCGCGACCGAATGAGCGTGAATCCAGCAGCTGAATTTTCCTCCAAAACAGCGATCAACGTGTGGGTGGGTAATATCCTTGGAGCCTCAGAACTCCCCTCAAACAAAACATTATGTACAAGTAATAGAAAGGCTGTTTACGTCCGCGTTATTCAGTGGGATCCTCGAGTGCGTTGTTTCCTTGCCAACCAATCTCCAAGCATGTTGTCAAGTTGCTAGCACGCTGTTAGTCTTATTTCACATATCAAGGTGTTATTACTTGACACTCACCGTTGTTATCTCTGCCAACTTGGCATTCTGCTCCCGGAAGAGACCACCCACTACAGGATGATCGCTGCTCGCGGGCACCACATCGGTCTTGTCGTACACCACGACCAAGAGATCGCGGATATGCTCGGGCTCATCGAAGAACGCACGCAGCTTCATATCGTCCCAAGCCGGCTCCTTGCTTCCCGTGGAAGAGGAGCTGCTCTTGGATCTATCCTCGACAGACTGAGTAAGCTCAGGAGAGGGTGATACGGAAGGTGAGCGGTCCTCTGGAGACGAAGTGTCTACCATGAGAGCAGGTGGCTCTGCAACCGGAGACATGGGAGATGCTTCCGCGGGCGAGCGAGCATCTGACTTGACTGGGGGTTGCGGTGAGGGGGAGGGTCTGTAGTTGGGAGAAAATGGATTGGTATCGGGGAAAGAACCCGGGATGATGGGCTCTTCCACCTCTTCCTCTTGATATGCCTTGGTGGCCATGGGCTTAGACGTCTTGGGGTGAGGCATCTGATCCAGAATATTTTCGCCATCGTCTGATTCATCCGAATCGGATAGATCCAAGTGGTTGAGTGCACGCGGTGCGGCGGCCGATCTGGGGCTGGTAACCACCTCGCCACGGCGGGAGGTGGGAGAAAGCGGTTGGTCCAGAGATGGGCGGCCACGAGGGGGCTGGTGTGATGGGACCTCGTGCGTCTCGTTCGTCTCGGGGTTGACAATGCGCATCGAGGGCGGAGGAACATTGGAGACATCGTTGATGCGGCTTTCAGCCAAGTACGAGGCAAGCTCCACAGTCGAAGCCTGGGGTGCCGGGTTACTGACAGTTGGCTCGATCCGGGCTTGAGGCTTGTGCAGTTTGGCCGGCTGCCTGGTCTTCTCGGGAGATGAATGCTCCTCTGAGTGGCGCTCCTCACTATCGCGGGGCTCTCCCTCGGGGCCGTCGTCGTCGGGCGACCTCTTCTTGTCTTTTCTCGAGAAGAAGCCTCGGAGACCACCAGGCTTTTTGTCCTTGTCCTTGTCCTTCTTGTCCTTGCTCTTCTTCCTATCCTTGTCGGACATGAGCTCCTTTTCGAGCCTGTCCAAGCTCGTCCGGGACTTGCCCTGGATAGAGTCGGTGGACTCCCGAGGGGCGTCATCCCGCAGCAGGTTAGGCGTGAGGGTGATCTTTTTGGTCTCGGCTGTTTCGTCCTTAAAGAAAGAGTCGGTGTTCCTGATGTTACCGTTGCGAGATATGCTGGGGCCCTTCTTCTCCACAATGTCGAGGCTTCCTCGCAGATCTTCGTCGTCTGAGGACTCGTCCAGAGTTTGGTCCGAAGGTTTGGCACCCTTGGTCCTGAGCGGCTCCACTCGGGCACTATCATCTGCAGCATCGTCATCAGATGTCGATTGCTGCTTCTTCTGTTGGGTTGATTCTAGCATCTCGTCGAGATCTTCCTCTTCCGAGGAATAGTCGTGGTCAGAGTAATCGTGATAGGTGGGTTCTGCGAAAGCAACCGTAGCCTTTTTCTTGATGCCAATTGAGAAGCCCGTCTTTGGTTTCTGCACTTGTTGCTGGTCGGTCAACATGGAGGCGGAGAGCTAATTAAACTGTTAGTTACAACAAAGACCTTTCCAACATGAAAGCAATTGCGTACATCAATGTTCCTGTGCTTGTTTAGTCGAGCGAGCCTTTCGGTAGGCGTCTCAATGTGTTCGGCCGGCAGGTAGCCTGGGATCATGTTAGCCAACACGAATGAATTTCAAGGTAGAACCAATAGTCAACGTACCAATGCTGCTATCCTTGACTACTCTCACCAGCCACCAATAGCTGTTGCTATCGTCTAGCAGAACCATGGTGTCGCCCTTGGTTGCATTGGCTTGGCCCTCGACGGTAGCGACGAAGGTGTGAAGGGCGTAAACGAATTCGAAATCAATGTCCTCTGGTTCATGTAAGCACTCTGCCGCCCAACCATAGTCAATGAAGCGTGGGTCATCAGGAAGGGAAAAGTCGGAATCATCATCTTCTTCAAAGGATTTGTTGTAAGGTATCGTAAGCGACATGTCGGTCTCGAAGTCAGCCTCGTGGGTGCAAAGGTCGCAGTCGTTGCAATCAAAGTCACAGTCGCAATCTGCAAAATACGTCTCGTCCTCGACAACGTGAACATGCTGACTGGCTGAACCGTGTTCCAACGCGTTGCCGTCCTCGTCCACCGCCGGATCCTAGCCTTGGGTCTCGGAGCTTTGCGTCTCACCGTCGTCGCCAATTCCATAGCCGTCGACGTGTCCTTTGCCGCCATCGTGGTTGCCGTCGTCGCTACGATCCGCATACTCACCAGAAAGAAGATGATGATGGGCAATGCGAATCTGCTGCAGGAAATCTGTGTCTGCTGTGCTGGGAGCTGGAGATGAGGAGGGAGGGTGCAAGTGCAGTGAGGTCCAGGGGGTCCGTGGGATGGAGGACAGGGAAGACACTCGCCGCGGCCAGGCCACGGGAGTGACAACAGAGCTGCACGCACCATCTTCGATAGAAGGCGAACTCGAGATGCGATCCATCATGTCGTCGTCGAGGTCGCCATCCTCCTCGATGTCGTCGTCGTCGGCCATGCCGCCATTCTGCGCCACGGCCAGCGAGTCCTGCTGGTGCTGGTGCTGCTGATACACGTCCATGCCGTCGGCAATATTTCCAGCGTTCGGTCGGCCGTTGTCTTTGTCGGTGGCAGCCCAAGGACTGCGGGATTGCTCGATGGCGGTCTCGTGGGCGATCTCGCGAAGCGTTTCGGCCTGATGCGGAGCAAGCAGCACAGGAGGGCTGGAAAAAGGGTTTCGGGAAGTCGTATGACCTCGGTAAGCGGAGTGATCCTGGGTCGATGGGGCGTGGTGATCTTGCAAGTCAATCGTGTCTGTATTCGTGCCCAAGGGGGAGAGGAGGGCGTTCGGTCAGTCTCGATGGGCGTTCTGAAGCAATCAATGCTCACGTGTCTCGCGTCGCGGACTCGGGGGGAAAAGGAAAATAGAAGGGAAAATGGTGACGGGGAATTAATTTTTTTTGGTCTTTTGAGAGAGAGAAGGAGAGTCAAGAGAGCGAGCGAGAAGCAGAGACTGCAAAGATAGGAAAAGAAGGGGCGCAAGGGGCGGCCAAAAGATGGAAGAGAAGGGAAGAAAGGAAGCTGCTGGCGGAGGAATGCAGAGGCACGAGCAGAAGCAGAAGCAGAAGCAGAAACGAAGCAAAGCAGAAGCACAGTCTGGATGTGCAACCAGGACGGCAGACGAGAAGAAGAGAAAGGCAGTCAGACCCCTGGTCAACTGTCGTGTCGTTTCTTGTTGCGTCCCGTCGTCTTTTCCCTTTATCGCATGCTCGCGCAGGCTAATAACATCGAGCGAGGTCGAAACGGGGGTGGCGCGAATCCTGTCCCTTTTTTTCTGGAGCCAGTGACAGGCACAATTCCGCACGACGAATCGAGCTGCTAGCAGGGGGGTCGAAAAAAGACGCCAACCAAGATGCAGAGTCACAATCGGCAGGCAGCATGAAAATGCACGCGCGCGAACAAGGGGGTCTGTGACGATTCTGTCTGCAAGAGGAAGAGGATGGAGAGCGAGGTCAATGCCAGGCTTATGCCGGACAGGGTGCAGTGATTTGCAATTGAATTGAACGACAAACAAGGAGGAGGAAGAGGAGAACAGCAAAGTAAAAAAAAAATATACGCACCCGCTCTGACAATCAAGGGCCTGGTCATGGCGAATCACAGACTCCCGCCGCAGCTGATCAAGGTCCGATAATTGTTTCGGAGGGTTTTCGATCTCTTCAATTCTCTCGCCGTCACGTCACGCTGAGCTCAAACGCAGAGTGAAGCACACAGACAACGGCTCAATTCTTCTCTCTGCCTGTCGCAGGACTGCGTGCGTGGATTGATTGCGGATTGCGGGTATTGGCGATCCCCACGTCACTAGATACAGTAATCGGCTTTCGCGGTTTCTTACTCGTGCTCTCGCTCAGCTCGCCAAAGCGGGACACGGGTTGGTCAATAACCTGGTCGGTTCCTTGGTGGGCTTATTTGCTGATTCGGTTCGATGGCAGAGGCTTCTCCAGGTGAGGCTCGCTGCTGACGGGATTGCGGCGCAGGTGGGCAAGGCAGAATAAAAAGACGGGCAGCGATGAAGAAAGGGAAGAGATTGGCACTCGATGCAGCAAGGCCAGACAGAGGGCGGGCAACGGGCAAAGGGAGAGGGGGAGGGGAAAGGTCTGAGGTGAGGTGAGGTCAGAGAAGGATTGGGGGAGGCTAGGACAGACGATGGTGGACAAAAATAGGCTGAATCAGATAAGAGGCTTCACTATTGATCTCTCAGCCACATTCTTCTCTTCTCTTATTGACCTATAGCTACCATCATATGTTGCCAATTGACTTGATGTCTTTTTATTTCTTTGTATCTACTTGCATAGAAATTTTGCAGAATCATGAAATCTACCCCGTAAAAGTGCCTGAGAGACAACACCTTTCCCTTCTACTGCTTTGTCTCTCGTCTTGCCAAGCGGCACAAAGCATCACTCGAACAAGAACATAACTGGCCAAATCCACATAAATCCCCAAGCTCAACATTCCTCTTCCCGCCATGTCTCACTCCCATCTCATTCCGCATTCTACTCCCACCACCATCATCGTCATCATCTTATTCTTCTTTCTGTCTACTCAGCCCCTCCCACCAAGAAACCCCAATCGGCCTCATGCAAGGCACCATGCAATGCAATCAGACCCCTCCCACCAAAAGATATCCACTCTTCCCACCTTTCGTATATCCACACTTTCTCGCAAGGTACCAATCCCGCCGCGCAGATTCGAACATGGGTGGTGAGAGGGTTCCCTTCAGCCTCACTCACGTATTTTTCACTCACCTCACTCACTCATTCTCCATTCGCATTCTCATTCTCAACTTCCCCTTACATATAAAGACACACATACGAATACGCATAAACACGCATAAAATACCCAAAAAAAAATCCCAGACAAATGCAACCAAACCCACCGCATAAAAAACCCCCCCAAAGAATCAAAACCACCAACCACAAAAAGTAGTGCCATCGCCAATGTACCGCTTCCCACCCATACCCGAAAGCTGAAACTCCCCCACCCTCCACGCAATCTCACCCGCCCAATCTCTATTCTTCCTCCCGTCTCTAGCTTTTTTTTTTACCCCTGGATTCCGAAACATGGCATACATTTTTGCTTGCTTGCGTCAACTTTTTCATTTTACCAAGACCTGCATCGCCCCAAAAAAACAAGTGCCGGCCTTTCGCACATCTCTTCCCGCCCGTGTAAGATACTAGTAGTAACGCCCAGGCCACCATCACCAGAAACAGCGGCTCAGAATGATCCGTCAGAACCATAATATTACAAACATTGTTTCAAACAATCACGGCATCGTAAATCTTAGTCAGTTACGGAGTAGTAGTAAGAGAAATTTGACAGTTGCCATTAGTTGAATCTATCGCTTCGACTGCAGACCGTACTACGTACTTCGTCATACAATCATCTTTTTTTTTTCGGTTTCCCTATGCCATAAAACCTAGTCCGATCAATAATCCCATAAAATCTATTTCTTAAGCTGTACTAGAGCCCAAGACAGCGACGCAACCCTCGACGTTTTTGTTTTCTCGTTTAACCCAAATGAGACACTTTGGTCTCCATCAATGCATCATATGAAATACTGCAATAAACACGCTGAAAAAGCAAAGCCTAAAAAAGGAAAGAAAAAAAAATCAATTCATGCATCCGCTTCCGTCCCCCTCTAATGGCGGCTGATAGACATGCGTCTAACCTGCTCAGTGCCGTTGGCCTGGCCTGAAATCTCAGACAACTTCTTGGTCATGCTGTTGATGCAAAATTAGTAAATTGTTCTATAGCTGTGGGGAGTAAATTGGGATCTCAAACTTACAAGTCAAAGAAGGCAAACTGGCTAGGCTGGCTGCCAAACTCGTAGACGAATCGGCTGGCCAGGTAGCTGCCAAAGATGGCGCGCAGGTAGTTCTCCGGTACGCGGGAGATGATGACATCGAGGCCAATCTTGTCGAGCAGCAGCTTGGGGAGCGCGTTCCTCAAGACACCCTTGCGGATGTTCTCGTTGTCCCACAGGTCAGAGTGCTGCAGCTTCTCGTCGAGGTCGGTAATGGCCACAGACAGTTTGTCGGACAGGACAGACCGGGAAATGCCAGTCTGCTCGTGCTCGCGCCAGATGGCCTCAAACTCGAGGCGGGCGTTCTCCTGGATCTTGGCCTGGACTTCGCGGACGTAGTCGTTGTAGAACTGGGGGGCCTTTCCGGTCTTGTGGTCGACGCACATGTGCTCGATGAAACCCTCAGTGTCGAATGACAGAGAGGCCAAGACTTCCAGGGAGGAAGAGGTAACACCTCCCTTGTTGGCAGAAGCATCCTTGTAGAGAATGCAGCCGGCATCCTCCAGTCGGAGCTTAGCATCCTGGCTGATGAACAGGTTGGCACCTTCGACAATGTAGGGGATGATGCTCTTGCCGTCCTTGATGAGTCTGTTGACCGAAATGAGATCGATGGACTCGGGTCGGCCACCGCAAGGCACAAAGGAGTCGGTGGTGTTGTTCTCACGCAGGTGGTACGTGTTGCGGAACGAAGTGCCGTTGTTGACAACCTCTCCGCTCGGCAGCGTGACGTTGTTCTCCTCGCAAAGGACGCGGTATCCGTCCTTGGACAGCTTGGACATGTCGTACTCGATGATCATGGCACGCTTTCGGGCCAGGCGAATGAGCTCGTCCTTGTCCAGGCCGTTGGGGTCGGCCAACACACCGGAGCCGTCGACAATGGCAGTGTACTTCTCGTTGCTGAGAAGGATTTCGTTGCTGCCCAAGTCGCCGTCGGGGCCACCAGTCTGCATCTTGCGGACCTGAGAGGGGTCCAGCTCGAGCTTGCGGTAGATGCCCTTGACGTACTCGCGCACGGACAAGGTGGTCATGCCGTACTTGTCGTGGGGGATACCACCGAGCTTGGGAGACTTGCCGGTGAAGAAGGACTTCCACCAGGGGGCACCACGGGCCTTGGCGTGCTCGGTGGCCCAGTCGACCAGGTCGGCCGTGTTCTCGTCGGGACCCATGAACAGGATCTCCTCCTTGCCGTACAGGTCGACGATGGGGTTCTTGATTCCAGGGGTCTCCGCGGGCAGGAGAAGATCCAAGATACTATCAATGTACTTCTCAAACGCCTCGGTGGCCTTGTCCTGCTGCTTGGGGTCCAGGAGGATAACACCCTTGGATCCACCCTCGGGAATGTCCTTGTTCTTGCGCTGCTGGGTGCTGGCAAGGCCGTAGTTCTCGTCAAAGAGGTTACGGGCGTTGATGCCGTACGCCTCCTTGCTGCGGGACTTGACGATACGGATACCGCCACGAGAGATGTCTCGGAAACGGAGGTGGAAACCACGAGACTCGGCACCAATGACCAAGAACATGCCGTACAGAGGCTTGGGGTACTCAGCCTCGGGCAAGAAAGAGGGGTCCAGGCGGAAGCTGAGGGCGACCTTGGTGGGGGTGAAGTAGTTGGTCTTGAGGATGGCGTTGTTGAAGACACGGAAGGCGGTCATGACCATCTCGTCGTGCTCGTTGGAGACCGTCTTGGAGATCTTGTCCCGGAGCTTCTCGTCAGACATGACCTCCACAGCAGGCGTGGCCAAGACGACGTCAGGGTCCTTGGCCGCACCGAGGTGCACGTTGGCAAAGGCGGCGTAGAGCAGACGAACAAGCTCAGGGTACGACTGGATGATCTCGAGGATGTAGTCGGGGGTGAAGGTCTCGGTACGCAGACGTCGCTTGAGCTTGGACAGCAGAGCCGCATGGGCGTTCTGCTTGGAGTCCAGGATCTCAGAAAGAGAAGCATACTCGGGACCGAGACGGTTCAAGAAGTGCTGAACAAATACCCAGGCGCTGTGGGCGTAGACAGACTCCTGCAGGCTCAGCTCGCCAGTGGCAAACAGGTGGTGGAACTTGTTCTGGGGCAAGCAGTAGAGGAGAGAGATCTCCTTGGTGATCTGGTGGATGGATGCATCGATGGAAGGGAAGTAGCCCTCGAGGTTGGAAGCGGGGCGGAGGTAGACACTCATGACGGTGATACCGTTGGAGAACTGCTCGACGTACTTTCTTGAGCTGGTGACGCCATAGTAGTGGTACAGGTCGCTGAGGGTCGAGAAGATGCCTCGGGCAGTGCGGCTGCGGAAAGCAACAACCAGACGCTTCTCGGCGGAGCCCTCAATGTCAAAGACCTCAATGACGGGGCCGGCTCGGTTGACGGCGAGCTCGATAATCTCCTGGTACACCTGCTTGGTGTTGGCGGTGGCCTTTTGCCAGAAACCAACATCGGAGATGACCTCGATTCTGGTCTCCTTGGGGTCGGTAGACTCGGGGCTCTGCTTGAAGTGGCACTGGTACACGAAGTAGCAGCGGACAGTAGCCTTGGAGTTGGGGCTGGCGCCAATAGCAGCCGGTGAGCGGAAGGTCTCGACACGGTACTTGCTCTTGCCCTGGTGGTCCAGGTACTTGGACTCGAGGCGGGACTCATATCGTGGTCCGCCGACGTGGCCCTTGCCGGGCTCGCTGGTGTCGATGTAGATGGCGTGGTCGTTGGCCTCCATATCCAGGCGGATCTCCTCCTGCTTGTCCTCTCTTGAGTGGGCGGCAACCTTGGCTGCATAGAGAGAGGTAATCTGGTTGGCAATGACCTCGGGGGTCTCAATGTGGAAGTAGACATCATCGATGCCGAGCTTTTCGTAGAACCACGCAATCTGCTCATCAATCAGAGCATCGGGGAGCCAGCCACCGCCCTGGATGATGGCCTTGACAGCCTTGATCTGCTCCGTCTTTCCCTCGAACTGGGGAGCAACGTAGCCGACGGTGGCAGAGCGCAGAACTCGGTGTCCATTTCTCAAGCTGAGAGGGACAGGAGGGACGCTGACGTGGGTGGGCTGGGGAGAAGGGCCACGACTTGAGTCTGATTCAGCGGTTTGAATCTGAGCCACAGACTTGGGCTTGAGAGGAGCTGGGGACGCCATTGTGGATGGTATTTCAAATGGGTCTTTGTATTCAGGGAAGCTGTCGCTGTGGGAAAAATTAGTCTGAATTGCCAGAGCCATTATGAAAGAAATATGCAGATTAAACGAATAAACAAAAGGTCGGGAATTAACGAAAGATGTGATGAAATGGAGAGGGATGAAGAGACGCTGCTTTGCAAGGAACCATGGCAAGATATATAGACATCATAGCTGTTGCATATATATACGAGCCACGAGGACCACGCTGGAACGCCAAAGATAAGAACTTGGGCATAATTCACCCAGCCATTGTGGCATAGCGCACGAGTCAATGACATAGGCCAGGGGTAGATATCGAGAGCCAACGTGAGACATGCTCCTCGAGAGATGCAAGGAGAGATCAGATGGCCGCGCCACACTCGTGGCGTTGATACAGTGAGATATTCCAAGTTTGCCAGGGGGATCTCCGCAAGGAATGCGTATAAGTGTAGTGCTCAGGGGGGGTGCGAATAACGGCATTGACCGAGCAAAAGTCCATAGGGCCGGTGTAAGACACGATTGTGCCCTCACCGCCGCAGGGCAAAGCTCAGGGCATTGTCATTGTGCTTTCCACCAATCTGGCTTGTTGACTCGACGGGAACGGCGGAGAGTGACGGGGGTGCAACAAAAGGGCACAGCTGTCGATAACCCAATAAGAGGGCTCGCAACCACCACGTACCTAATTGATTAGGACAGGCTGATCAAAAAAGCAAAAAGCTGCAAAGGATCTCGAATGAATCCTGGGCGCGAGCAGTCAGCAAACAGCTGTTCGCAGCGGCAGTAAAAGGAGAGATTGCGGGCTTGTTTGTTAGAGCCATCAATAAACGTACCAACTAAGATAGCACTATTCAGACGGCCAAAATAAGAGTCGAGGCTGTGGCGGTGCAGGGGGTTTGCCGGACAGCGAAAGGAGCAAAGATAAGAGCCACGGTGAGACGGGCTTCGTATTGGGGCTCGTAAGAGGTCGGTGCGTGAGCGAAGAGATAAGGACAAGATTTGGAGGAAGACTGAGTATTTCTATTTTAGTCTCGATTCCCGTTAGCCATTGTTTGCACTTTTTTTTTTCCTCTCCCTCCTCTCAGCTCTTTTGGGGCGTTGGGCGGGCCACCATTCAGAAGGAGCTGATAGCTTCGGCAGTGCCGAGTGCCGCTGGCTTCTGACGGCTCTGGAGAGAGCTGTTGTCGCCGCTTTGGGGATGGAGGAGTTGCCTTACCTGTCCTTGTCTATTGGTGTTTTGTTTGCTGCTTGTCTCCTGAGGATGTTTATGTGGCGACAAACGAAGCGAGGAGAGCTAAAGATGCAGATGCAGAGACAGGTGTGAGGATAGAGATGGAGGATCTTGGGGGAGAGATAGGAGGGGCGAGTCGAGGTGGTGAGTGAGGAATTGCAAGCCAATTGGCACTGCTGACAAGCCCAAGCAAAGAAGAAGTGAAGCTGATGCTGATACCAGGCGATTCCACGAGGCACCGCACCTGGCGGCAGCGCCTTTAAGTAATTCGGCGACGGATTCGCATCGCTTCGTGACTCTTGCCCACGTCCTTCAAGGCCGTCACTTGCCTGCCGGTACGCGACGGTACTTGGCTGGTGACCAGCTCGTTGCCCCTCCCCCGGTGGGCCAGCCAGGCCCAGAACTGGAGCCCCTGCGCTGGTCCTCTGGCGGCGCTGCGGCGCTTGCACGCTTGCGCACAAACCCAAGTACCGTGTACCCTGAGGTACTCTTGTATCCGCACGTACCTCCGCCGCCCCCGTGTTAGTGCAGCTCCGCTGTTTCTCGAATCTTTTCGTTGCAAGCATTTGCAGCGTTCTTGTGGTCACCGGTACCAGCTACCAGCGCCAGCCGGTGATCCGGGCCGGTCGAGACGCTGTTACAGTGGGCAGCATTTCGTACTCATGACCTCAGTTGCGTTCAACTTTGCTGGAGAACACAACGAGCACAGTACCTACCTGTAGGTACTGTACCTCCACCTCCCCATAAGTCCATAGAGGTCCATAGGAATAGGTACATACCTGGGTACAGTACTGTGTACCTGTAGCTCAGCTTCCACAGCAGCGGCTTATAGGGGGTCTAGCAGTAGCAGCGTTTCCCGTCACCCATCAATCAATCTGCTGCGCCGCATCGATCCATTGGACACTTGTTTCATTCTTTTGCCTGTCCTCCGTCTAGACCGTTGGCACGCGGTCAGATGACTCTCGCTCTCATCTCCAACGCCGGCCGGGGCAATTTCTAAACCGCCAGTGCTCGTACAGACAGACGCAAGCAGGTACCTGAGGTACATCAGGTACATGAGGTACCGCCGGAAGAGTGACGAAAGGGGCAATGGGAAAACCCTGCACAGTATTTCGCATACTTTCGCATACGGCGTGCGCACGCAAACGGCCCCCAAGACGACAGCAGAACAGAGCACATGCGCTGGATCGCGATATGACCTCACCCTCCATGCATTTCCCTTACATATTCTTACATATTTTTACATACTTTTACATACTTTTACATATTCCGGCCGCAATATTACCAAATAGCAACTGTGCGCTAGCCCCCATCGGGCAGTAAGCGTGGTCCGGGCGCCCGGTACCTGACCGTTCAGCAATCAGGAACCAGCGCCGGGCTGCAGGCAAGCGCAGGCGCTGCAATGCGGCACCTCCTGGCCAAATTCCGCCAATCCTCCGGCCCGGTGACTTGTCCAGGAGGGCCGAGGTACTAAGCCACTACGCTGTTGAAGCGTGGCTGACGAGGTACCATGGCGATATCGTGGTTGTATTCTTGGTACGTACCTCTGCGCTGGGACCCGGCTATTCGAGGCTCTGCGCTAGAGCAGTCAATTTTTTTCGTTGCTTCGTTTTCTCTTCGCAAAGCTTCTCCAGACGTCCCTGGGCTGCCCCTCTCTCCCCCTCTTCGGGTTCTGCTGATGCTCTTCTGCCACACGAGGCCTCTTTCTGGAGACATGGCTAAGCCTCATGCGGTGCTCCGCGCCCAATGGCCTTTGGCCGTGTCTCTCCTGCGAGTCATCACCAGACTCGGGACTCCGTACTGTGTAGGTACTCGTACAGGTACAGGTACAGGTACAGGTGCAAGGGATGAAATCGCAGTTTGTTGCGCAGAATCCCTCGTCTCAGCTTGATGTTCTGTTCTGTCCTGTGCCTTTGCTAACTTGCATTGACCACAGAGTTGCAATGTGATGCCACGTTGACGTGCGATCTCTTAGTCTTCAATTGTCCATCCTTAGCCGCCTAGCCGATTTCCAAAAAGGGGAGCGGCAGCATCGACGCCAGTGTGTCCACATCTTGGGCCACGACCATTAGAGTCAACTACCTGGTCTATACGAGTACTTGGTTGTGTGCGTGTGTGTGTTGCTTTGCAAACTCACAGCGGCTACGAGTACGGGTTTGGCAAAAGTTTGATTGCTTTCTCGCTTGCTTGCGTGCCCTCGTACCGTTCCCGAGGCCATGCATATCCAATTGGCCTGTTGTCATGTTGGCATTTGTTTCGAAAATGCCATCGTGACAATGCAGGGTTGGCATCTAGACCTGCAAGGTTTCTGCGACAACAATAGCTGTTACGAGCTTGTTTGTCATAGTCAGCAAATTTCGCCTCCGGAAGGGAAAGGAAAAAACAAAAAAGGCCACCTGACAAACGCCTCCACAACGCGCATGGACTAGTCTCGCTTTCTAATTTTCTTTTGCCCTTTTTTCGTTTTTATTCTCCGGTGCTACCAGCACATTGTGCAGGTGGCCCTTTTACATACCGCTTCTTCCAGGCCAGGGACTTGTACTCGCAAAACACCTGGACGGTGCACAGAGACTGACGGGTTGGCCAGGTAGATCCGGGGTATCCAAGCGGTGCTGTCGAGAAATCCCAACAAAAGTGCAAAACTAGGCTCATCCAGGGCTTGTACATAGAGATTGCAACCTCCTTGCCTGCCCGCTTGCATCGTCCCGGCGACGGGTCCCGGGATGGCCAGCTGGGCTTCCCGTTTGGCGCGACCCAGCGGCCAGCCGCGGGGATGCACTCCTTCTTTCGAGTCGATATACTATTATGTAGTAGTGTCAGAACCTCGTCGCCTGCATGGCGGAAGCGGGTAGCGGGCCAATGGCCCTGTCTGCTTGACCACGAGGCACAATGCGCATGTCAACGACGGCCCAATCTGCGACGCCAGCAAGATTGCGTGGCTGCCCCTATGGCCCAGCTGTGGTTGATGAAAATTTTCATCGGCCCCCTATCCATATCCATAGGTTGCGATTCGATGTTGCTGGCATCCCATGCAGGCACGCAAGTGTATGGTACGAGTACATAGTACAGCACAGTACGTGTCCCTTGTCAATGCATTGGCCCAGCCTCGAGCACGACAATTGCCCCCTTCCAGCAAATAGGAACCTGGGACGATAGAGCAAGAGAAGCCACTAATGCCGGACAACGCCCAGTAGCCAAACAAGAGCCAAACAAGACGTGGATAAAACGCCAACTCCCCAATATATTCGGCACGGCCTGGAGAAGCCCCGCACCGGGTCCCCGTCGGCCATCGGCTGACCCCACAGCCAGGCCAGAGCCGGCCGGAGCTTTCGATTTCCATTACCCCCAGCTTTCTCAGGCCATCGTTTCCATTACCCCCAGTTTACCTGATGACCCCAGGATGGCGCTTGATTGATGGGTTTGCAAGAGGCTAGATGCGTGCTAACTGTGCTGCTGACTTGAATAGTTGCAAAGTGTCTGCATGTACCTTGCATAGGCACAGGTAGGCGTCTCCGTACCTGGCAATGGCGCAAACGCGGCCGACACGAGCAATCAGAGCATGACAATCCACGTCGATCATGGAATTTGCTGTACGGAACCGAGTACCTCCAAGTACATTGCACCGGGTCCCTTGGTACCTCTTACATGCAGTAATTCCAACAAGAGCTGCTATAATCAGCAGGTGATGAGACAATCTTGTCGGACACAGTGCGGCTGGGCAGTCTTAATACACCGGAGGAAGCAGAGCTGCTTCATATGATCCGTTCATCAATGCATCATCGGCAAAGGCAGCTGCATCTGCTCCGGCGCCTCTCTATTGGAACAGCCTTCCCCGGGAAAAGAGAAAACAAACTAGCAGAGCCTCGAGAGTGCGGGAGAGTGGCAGCGACTACGAGGCACTGTTCCGCTTACTACTACTATACACTATACAGGTACACATTGCCCGCTCCAGTATTACTACTACTCTGTATACAGGTAGTCTCGGCTAGGAAAATCTGGGGGAAGCACAGCGCCGTCTGAAGGTAAATTGGCCCTGCCAGCGAACAGAGCCGCCTCTCCTCTTGGCGGAGAAAAGCTGTGGCCACCTGTTAGTAAATCGTGGGTCCCCTTGGGTATACCGCCCCGCTTCCTATTTTTTCTCTTTTTCTTTTCTCTTCCATTCTTTTTTTGGTAGACCCCAAAAAAATGAACCCCTTTAGCCCAGGGGGCAAAATGCTGTGGCTCTGCAAAGGACCCATCCGGGCGTCGGCACTGTACCATCACGAGGACGGCAAAAATAAAACCAAGGGACATGAAAAATTGGATTCAGCTTGTTTGCGTTACAGGTACCATGTTCTGTGTACCCATAGCGAGGGTCAGGTACTGATTCATTTCCTCTTTTCTTTTTTTTTTAGGTCTGGTTTATTTTTATTTTATTTTTATTTTCATTTCTTTTTCCATTTGCGAGTCACGATGGAGGCAGATCACTTTCACGGCTGGCTTTCCCCCAGTTTCGCTGTTCCCGTCTTACGTACAACGTGAGAAGCACCTCAATGGCACGCCTTCGCACGCCACCGCCGGCAGTTTTTCGTTCTTCGTCGTCTTCTTTTTGTTCTTTTCTCTTTTCTCCTTCCCCTCTCAACTTGCAGATGCTCCCGCAGCGTTTTGATTGGCCCCTTGGTGTTTTCCCAGCTGTGCCATTTGGTGACCGCGATACGAATACGTTGAGGGTGGCTGCATGGATGCTGAACCTGCATAAAACTTAAATGAAAATTTATAGTGAAACTGCCATTGTTATAGTATTGCGCGCATTTCTTTCTTTTTTTCTCCCGTGGCGATATCATCAAGGCACTGGGCTCACATGTACCGCAACTCATTATCCACCAGTTGTACTCTATACTTGCTCCAGTACAAGACACGAAGCCGGAAAAAAAAAGGGTCACCGTGTAAAGCTGGGGTTTTCGGTTCGACCTACCGACAGGGCTCGTCATGTGGTTTGGCTCTTGTCAGGCTGAACGGCTTTCTCCGACCCCGGGTTTTCGGCGCCGCTGGCCGCAGGTTTCTAGTATATTTTCCTTACTCCATAGCGGTCACGATGCTGCTAGTAGTTACGTGATGCCCGGAGTCCGGAGTGTCTAGCGCTGAGACATGACTCTTTTGTCGGGCGTCCCATGGCTCCGATTCCTGGGGAAGCAAGACTTTTTCGCCATCTACAGTGAGTAAGAGAGGCCTAAGACGCCCCCAATTGCGGCCGATGTCATCTGGAATCCCCAGAGTCACTGTGAGTACCTGGATGTACATGCGTGTGTGCCACAAGCGGCCCCAGCATCCGAGACCATCGTGGCCTTTGTTTCCGGCCCCCGGCATGTTTGCCCCCTATTTCCTGCTGTGTGCTTTTTTCTTTTTTACTCGGGGGGTGGAAGCGTGCAGGAAATAAAAAAAAGTCAAAAAGGGCGGCCGCCGTCGATCACAAGACCTCTCTGATCGCCGGCCCCCCGAAAGAATGCACGGGCGGTGTGAGGATCCGCGATCTGTGCGGCGTGAAGGATCGCGGGCATGAGGGCCCTGGAGAAGTTTTTAGGTAAGGCATTTCCCGGGGTAAACTGGCACGGTCAAGGGGCGTGTGTGTGATTCGGTGGGTTTTACGTAGACTCGTATGCATGTTGTAGGTGTTGTGTGCTACTATACTACCCTTGGAACCCAGGCAGTTGCGGTTGAGTAACATCGTCAACGGGTAAATGCTTTTTGAATGCAGTTTATTTTTATAAAGTAAAGGATACGTAAATTGGCCTAAATGTAATGCAGGGATGGAATGGTGAAAGACAATGAGGCGTTGGTTTTGGATATGACTTGCTTTGCTGGCGGATCAGGTGCAGTACGATGCTGATTTGGGGAGTATGTTTCGGACGAGGACGTGTAAGCTGAGGCAGCCCATGACCTTTGTCTGTGCCTGCTCGCCTCCTTGCATCTGGCCTGTTGACCTGAATAAGGGGAAAAAGAAAACTCTAAATGCCTATGATGTTGAATCATTGATTGACTCAAGATGATACGAGACTTGGCATGGAATCAACAATCGACACGTGCTTGACTTGGTGGCGTTGATATGATGATCCACAGAAATAACGATCTCAGGACAACTGACTGAGGAAGAGAATGATGATTCTGACCAAGACATGAGGAATGACGGGGAAAGTCTCAAGTATGTCACTGCGGAATTTAACAGCCCTGTATCTACGTAGTATTAATTATGAATATTACGGCATCCAAAGAGATGTGCTTTCGCATATCATGAGTAAGGTATGCGCAAAAGTGCAATCAAGTTTTTTTCCCTTCAGGGTAGGTCGCTCATTATCTCGTGTGCATTCCGGATGACAGCGCCACACACGCCGCAACCTTGACAGGGGTAAGTGACAATCGCCAGCTGGTCCTCCGCTCGGGATATTTGTCCATCCAAAGGAGAGCGGAAAGAACTTTTTTTGCACGAGATGTAGTGCATCATACTGGGGGCGGATTAGGTTAGCAACAGGGAGGCAGATGATGAGATTGCGCCCAAGAATTTCCCATTGTCGTAGTTAATGCAGGGAGGGAAAAGCCACAGGATACCACAATTTTTTTTTGGTGACAATCACACGCTCGCTGTGCATGAGGACCACCAAGGTAGGCGGCGAAAATGAGACAGAGCCGCGGATATGCGAAGGAGGATTGGAAAATTTGGACAAGATTCATGACAAAACAGGCTGGCGTCGTACAAGTGGCACGCGCGGGATTTCTACAGCTCGATGAGGCCTTTCTTCTCTGGTGACGGGAGCGCAATGACATCATGGGCCGGCGTTTGAAGGAAAATGTCTCCCAAAGTATCTTTATTTTGTATAATGCTTCGGAGGACCGAGATGATGTGATGGATGGTTGGGAATAGCTTGTGGCCACTGTCGTACTGGGGAGCTGGATGGATCTTGGGTCCAGCGTATTTTTAGCTCTTCAGCTGGGACTTTGGCTTGGGAGCTGCGGTTTGTGGTTTGTGACACTTGGAGAGCGGGTGAGAGAGGCCGATTGGCATTGCTGCCTTTCTTTCCACACGAGTTTGCAGCCCATCACATCACATCACATCGTCCCGAGCACAAGAGGCGATGCTCGAATCAAGCGTGGCTAGAATGTACGTACCAGCAGCTCATACGTCACAGTCGCTCAGAATGGCAGAACCGACTAGAACAGGCAAAGCAACGCACGTGACCGCCAACTGCGATTTCTTCGGCTAAACCGCCAACGTCGGCCGGCAAGAGACCCATTATCGGCTGTGTGAAGAGAGCCAAAAAATTTGACTCGAATCGTCAAAGCCGGCAATTGAGGCACTAATCGCATCTTCTTTCCCGCAAGCATTGCTATCGGTCTCTGGCAGGGTTCTCTGCAATCGACTCTTTGCGTCCAGCTTCGTCATTCCCAGACAAGAAGAATAACACATCCGAGTTTGGAGTGCCCCGCAAACGGCAGCTTTCGGATCGCCACTTGCAGCTTGTATCGATATTCAGATCGTTCTGCGCATCGTCGATTCTTGGACTCGCATCACCACACCACATAGCCCCGAATCCTAATTAACCGTCAAGATGGTTACTCTTACCGAGGTCGAGGATGAGCACTTCCAGCACGCCAACGTTGCTGAGATGGAGGATGACGACTTTACGGATACCGGTATGTTCTGCCCTCCATGAAACCATGTCTCGTCAAGCACCCTGGTCCTAACAGTACTCCCCTACCACAGAATCCGAAATCTCCAACGAGTCCGACTTCGACCCTTCAGAAGAGACGCTCGCCGAGCGGCTATACGCTCTCCGCGACATCATCCCGCCCACCACCCGAGGCTGGGTGTCGAGCCGTGTCAACGCCGTCACCAGCGCCGCCTGGAGCGTGCTGTCGTTTGGCGGCAAGGGCGCCTGGGTCATCACCACCTCGGCGCTCTTCCTCGGCGTGCCGTTTGCGCTGTCGTTTGCCGAGGACCAGCAGCTGACTGCCATGGAGCAGGAGTATAACATGCGCCAGACGGGCAGCGAGCTGTTGACGGCGGGTGCGGAGCAGAGCACGGCGGACCAGGTCGGAGCGGCTCTGGGCCCTGAGACCAAGGCGGCGCTGTGAAGGCAGACCGAATAAGAAAAAAAAAGAAGAATCGGATAAAAAATGAAGACAGAAAAGAAAAACAACACTGACTTTGGGCGCCAAATGGTAGCAAAAGCAGGGTGCTTGGAACTTGGGAAACGATTTGGTTCTAATGTAATGACTGGCTTACTATTACAATGACGGGAAATGGTGATGTATGTGGTTGAGGACCTGAGCATGCGAGATCAAGCATGGTCCCCTCCATTCGTGTACAATAACCTTTTTTTGAAAGGGGGGAGAGGCATATCATTGCCTGGCCTTTTGAAGAACTGCTGGCTGGCTGTATGTTACTGGGCGGACCTGGAGGATTTTACAAACTTTGGGAGGAAACAATAAAAGAGGGCTATGGGAGGGGAGTTTTTATGTGCGAAGTAGGTTTGATGCCCCCATCTCATCTCCGGACGTGGTGTATCTACATCACTCAGCATTTATTATATATATTTTTTTGCCGTTGGGTAGAATTTTGGTTCGAGATGCTGTGTGAAGATGTGATGAATATGAGAGATGACTCTGCTCTTGCGATGGACCTTTTGATTGAGATCGTATTCACTGTGATGAGCTGTGGTGAGTGAGATTAAGATAACGGCTTGTAAGCTTCAACTGCGGGGCAATATAAAACTATCACCACTTCTCATCCTCATTCTCATACAAACTCATTGAACCACTCTCACAACCGCCATACCCTCTACACCAATCTCCAACAAATTCAATACTCAAAATCATGGACTTTGTAGCGCTTCCTAAAATCGAGGTTCGTGCTCCCCCTCATCTTCATGCCCAAAAGCTAGGATAATGACTCACCGGTTTTTTTCTCACATCTAGCTCCATGCTCATCTCACGGGCAGCATCTCCCGCCAGACACTGCACGAGATATGGCTCAAGAAGAAGGCCGCCGGGGAGACAGACCTGGACGATCCGCTGCTTGTGATACCAGAGGGCAAGCATGACTACAATCTCGAAACGTAAGGACGGGAGCACACATAAACCTCGCTCATCTCCTCCACTCCAAGTCAAAACATCAAGTTCTGATATATTTCATACATTTTACAGCTTCTTCCCCCTCTTCAGCAAATACATCTACGCCCTCCTCACCGACGAACCCTCCATCCGCCACGCCACCCACTCCGTCCTCCAATCCTTCCTCCAAGACGGCGTCGTCTACCTCGAACTCCGCACAACCCCCCGTCCAACCCCCTTCCTCTCCACCACCCAATACATCGCCATCCTCCTCACCACAATCGCCGCCTTCGAAGCCTCCCACCCGGCCCTCCACACCCGCCTCATCCTCTCCATCGACAGACGCCACGACTTCGCCACCGCGTCCTCCATCCTCGACCTCGCGCTGTCCACCCCGGACGTCGTGGGCCTCGATCTCTGCGGCGACCCGGCCGCTCGTCTGGCGGGCGAAGTCGCGCTGTTTACGCCGCTGTTTGAAAGGGCGCGTGCGGAAGGGTTGGGCATCACGGTGCACTTTGCGGAGGCGGAGACGAGTGCTTCGGCGGCGGAGCTGAAGACTTTGTTGGGCTGGAGACCGCATCGACTGGGTCATGTTATCTGGGAGGACGCTGATGCGAAGCGCGAGATTGCGCTGCGAAAGGATGAGTTGTGTTTGGAGCTGTGTCTGAGCTGTAATGTGCATGCGGGTATGGTCAAGAGCGGCAGCGGCTTTGACGACCATCATTTTGGGGAGTGGAGGGCAGTTGAGGGCGTCAAGGTGTCTCTAGGAGTGAGTCTCTCTTTTTTCATCATCACCATCACCCATCCTCCCTAGCATTGAAACATATTGTAAATATCGTAAACGGGAAAGGAAAAGAGAAAAGGCTGACAGCTTTGCTAGACCGACGACGTGGGCATCTTCGGCAGCCCCCTATCCAATGAATACCGCCTCGTCGCCCAGCACTTCCGCCTCGACGACCCCCAGATCTGCGCCCTCGCCAGAGAACCCATCGATCACATCTTCGGCGGCGACCTCGAAAAGGAGAGACTTCGCAAAATCATGTGGCCCTGAAAACTTGCCACCGGGTCAAAGGGGGGATGCTTCACCATACGTCACAGCAAACCTTGGGACAAAAATAGAACTTTTTACGAACAACTGGGACATTCTCCCCTTTTTTGATATTCTCCAACTTCTCACTTCTCCTTTTTTTCAAAAACTAAAACTGCGCTATATCAACTGTTTAAGACGTACGCAAATTTCATAACGCTATGGCTATGCTATCGACAGGAAACCAGGTACAAAAACTAGAGGAGAGCAGGGTGTAGCTCCATCCAAGAATTTCCATTTTCATTCCACTTCTTTGCCCACCGGTTTTTTGGTATATTGTATATAATTTTTTTTTTTTGCCTCCCCCCTCCTTTCCATTTAAACGGCACTTCATTCCTCCACAATCCTGTAAACGCCCGAAAAGACAAAAAAAGCATCATGAGTCCCAATCTAATTCGTGTCATCACGCGTTATATAAAAGCCCCGATTTTCATTTTTTAGTGCAAGTTCTGCGGCGGCGTGTCGAGGTCAACACCCTCAACCATGTTCTTCTGGACCTGGCTTTCGCCTACCAGCTTCCGGAAGAACTTGGAGGCTCGTTCGCTCTCGCCCTTGACCTTGACCGTCTCGTCGCGCTTCTTGTTGAGATCCTTGACGCTGTGGTCGAGGCCCACGCGCAGGTTGTCGGCGGGCATGCGCAGGACGGTGCGTACCGATCCCGAGATTCGGGAGGCGTTGGTGTGAACATAGTCGATCTCGGCGAGCTGAGCCTCAATCTTCCTGGCTAGCCGGTGGGGGAGAGAGTTGGGAATCTGCTGAAGTACATATGCCGATGCAGCAATCGCTAAAGAAGAACCAGTTAGCAAAAATTCTGTATCTGCGGTAAGAGGGGGGTTAGGGGTTACACACCGGCAACGACAATTCCGGGCAGAATGAGCTTGCGAAGGTTCTCATTACCGATGATGCGCGTCGCAGTAATGGCGTGGTCTACCCAAGAATTCATTCCCAGCATGCGAGGCACAACAGCGCCTGCAATGGTCAGGGCCATACCCGTGCCGGCAAACTTCTCCTGGCTGTGCATCAAGGTGGAAAAGTCCACAAAGTCGGCAAACTCAGTAGGCACGTCAACCTGGCGGGCAAGGGCATCCTTCTTCCGGCGGAACATGACGTCTGGTCGGAAGTGAAGGTTCTGGAACTCGTCGCCCACGTGAAGCAAGCCGAGCTGCTTGATGGCGTTGACACCCTTGACCGTCGAGGCTCGGGCATAGTCCTCGCAGTCATTGACGGCGTCGGCAATGTGGGAGAGAATGGCATCTTTGAGGTCATCGGCGTATCCAAAGGCGCCGAAGAGGCCGGGATATGGGATATCGTATTTGGTGTTTCCGGCGTAAGTGATGGCGGCGTTGAGCTGCCCTCGAGTGTGGTCATAAATATCCTTGCACGTTTCCTCGATATTGTGGACGACCTGTTCATCGACCTCTGATCGGGCCTTTTTGCTGGCCAGAATCTGGGGCTCAAGCTCCTTGAGCTCCTGAGTGACTCGGTCATATTCAGATTGAGCCACCTCGTGGTTGACCGTGGCCAACGTATTGACATCGTTGAGGATATTCAACAGATATGTTCGCGCGGGAGCAAGCTTCGACCTTGCTCGCTTTTCAAGGACGAATCTGCGGAGAGACTGTTCGAGCTTCTCAAAGTCTCGAACCTTGTCCGAGTCCTTGCCCTTGCCGTCATCGCCGGGATCGTCGCCACCTCCGCTGCCGCTGCCACTGCCGCCTCCGCCGCTGGGTCCGCCAGGGGGTGAGGGTGCCATTGGGATGACATTGCTAGAGACGAAGTGGACGAGCTCTGAAGCTTCCTTGTGCGTGCGTGGGCTCAACCCTGCAACTTGATCCAGGATCATCTTCTGGCATCGTTCCTTGTCTCTGATGAAGTCGTAGCCATTGACGACGATGAAAATGTACGCCTTCTCCGCAGCGGCAGCCCAGATGAATTCCTTGGCTGACTGCGTAAAGTGGTTTGCCGCGGAGACGACAAACACGACGACGTCAATCTCCTCCTGCCGAGCAAAAATGGCCGTCGTCTTGGTCGTGTCAGAGTTCAAGCCGGGAGCGTCGATGAGGGCAATGTCAACGACACCGTTGTTGAGTAGAGATTCATCAATTGTCCTAACATCCTTGACGTAGACTTTGCACTGGACGTATTTTTCATTGTCAATCACAATCCTTTCCAGCTCCTGAAGAGAGTAAGCATCATAGGTGGATTCGTCGTTTCGGTTGTAAATCATCTCCTTGTGGACCGCATGGACCTCTTCGATTCCTGCATTTTCTCGAGCATCCAGCACCTCACAGAAGATGGCAGTGCAGGGCTGCTGGTCTTCGGGCAAAACTTTGCGCCGCAAAAGGGCATTGCAGAAGGTCGACTTGCCCGCATTCAAATCGCCCGTGATGAGCACCTTGCTTGATTTGTCCTCGATGCGTTCGCGGAGAGACACAAGATGCTTGATGCTGGAGCTTATTTTGCCATCCAGGAGCGATGCAATGGAGCCCTTCTCCAATGAGTGTACCAGCTCGGCCTGGTGCAGAGCTCCTAGCTTTAGATCCAATTTCAACACCGAAAACTCTTGCGCAATCTGGGGCGAAACAAGCCGCGGCTCTGGACGAGTCTCGGCTGCCTGGCTAGACTCGGCCGATGCATCCTCAAGGCTCGTCATGGCTCTCCTAAGCATGGGCGGTGGTGCCTGGCTGGACCTGGCTGTGATGTCCTCCATGGTCGATGAGTGCAGGATGCCGGGACGAGGCACATCAGACTCCATCTTCTCTGCTCGCTGAACGGACGGGTAGTGGGCGGGCCACACGGCATTCATCTCGCGAAGGCCATGCAGCAGATCCAGCACCTTGTTGATTGATCGGCCCAGCGTAGCTCTCTGGGAGTTGTACCACAGCTGGTGGATGGCGCCGGACTGTCGCTGGTGGCCATGGCCCTGCATGTCCCACACGCCCGGCTCGTCGCCCATGATGCTGCCGCCGTATCCCGAGTCGATGTCCAGCATGCTCTGGAGACGGGCGGCGTGCTCGGACGTGGTGCCGTTGCCGACCGTCATGTAGTTGGGCCGCCCTCCGGCTGGGCCCGCGGATTCGAGGTCGGCATCGTCAGAGTCCCGGATGGCGGGCGCCTTGCCCTTGTCGTTGAAGTATTCCTGGCTCATGCTGGTCAAGGACTGCTTGTGCGCAGCATTGTCGAGCTCAAGGCCAAGGATGGAAAAATGCGGATGGTGTCAAAAGGTCGAAAGATCGGGTAGGAGCACGAGGGTCGGGCTTTGGATGGGGTTCGTCAAGTAAAAAGGTTGCATGATGTTTAAGCAAATTCGCGCCCCCCGGTGACGAAGCTGCCCTGATTGGCCTAGTTGCCTCGGCACAAGCTCGGGAAGCGCAAGCTATCTTATCGGTGGCCAAAAACCAGGCCGGACAGGCGCAAGTATCTTCACACCGGCGAGCTGCCGTGGGGGTACTTGGGTACTTGGCCGTGGTTGTGGCAGACTGACGTGCCAGTCCGACTAGCAACCCGCAAACATGCCAGACGACGTCGCTCTTCGGGCACTCCGCTAGGCAGATACTATACCATCCAGTTCTTGTCCGCTTCATCTTCAATTTCTCGCCGCAATCCGGCCATCACCCGAATTATCCTCTCTGTCCTCTGTCCGAAAAGCACGACTCTGCGCCTGTTGCTTCTCCGCAAGACGAGCCGTCGTCATCATGAATGTGAGGGCAATGCCTGTGCCTATCTGGAGCGGCGTCTAACCTCGACTTGCAATGCAGATTCTAGAATGGGCCTTTGGCAAGCGCATGACGCCGGCCGAGCGTCTACGCAAAAACCAGCGCATGCTCGACAAGGCGATTCGCGAACTCGACCAAACCCGCGTCAAGCTGGAGAAACAGGAGAAGACGCTGATACAGCAGATCAAGACGAGCGCCAAGAACGGGCAGATGGGGGCGTGCAAGATCCAAGCCAAGGACCTGGTGCGCACACGGCGGTACATTGAGAAGTTTTACGGCATGCGTAGCCAGCTACAAAAGATTTCCCTGCGGCTTCAGGTATGATCTTGGTCGGTTCTGGCAGCAACTGCCGTATGCGCATACTGACTTGTGAACCAGACCTATCGAACGAACGAGCAGATGATGCAGGCCATGAAGGGTGCTACGATGGCATTGGGCAGTATGAACCGGTCCATGAACCTCCCTCAACTCCAACGCATCGCCATGGAGTTTGAACGCGAAAACGACATAATGGAACAGAGACAAGAGATGATGGATGACGCTGTTGACGACGCCATGGATGTTGGAATTGAGGAAGAAGGTGACGAGGTTGTTGAACAAGTCTTGGAGGAGATTGGCATCGATCTGAACCAAGCTGTAAGGCTTTACCCCTACCCCGTATCATGCTCGGTGCGCAACATGACTGACTGTTGGAACAATAGCTTGGGGAGACACCAACCGCCTTGGGCAACTCTGCCGTGTCCGAGGGCAAGATTGCGCAAGCCGTTGGGGCTGGCGGCGGCAGCGGTGACCCGGTCGACGACGACCTTCAAGCCCGACTCGACAGCCTTCGAAAGTAACTGGTTGCTGCTGCTGCTGCTGCTGCTGCTACTTTATGACCAATCCGCGAACGAAATAATGAATGAGAAGCCTTGGAGTGGCCCCCCTGCGGAACTCACCAGACTCCGCTGAGCATGGGAAGAAAGAGGGGCGAATGTCTCTAATGAGGGGTCCGGATAATTCGAACGACGATGGTACCAAATGGGATCATTAAGCGGAGCATGTTATCATATATATGTGGAAGGGGCTTAGATGGGAGTGAGCCGTGTCACGTTTTCTCGTTGGGCGCAAGAGGTGTTGATGGCCATTATGATTTGAAGAATACACTTGCAGATATATTTACGCACGCAGAGGTTATCTGTTTCGATAATTGACTAGAGAGGAGTGTCTATTTCCGCTGTAGCCGGCAACGTGGAGCACCACAGAGACTTGTCTTTGTCTAGGTACAGTAGGATGGATATTGTCTAAGAGCGTGGCTGGTCCCCAAGTCTCGTCCTACAAGGTATTTACCGCCTCATGTCTCTGATCGACAATGCGGTCTACACATGCGCATGCCACTACTTTCCACTCCCCCACGGCCTCGGTGATTCCCATGCTCGGCGATTGCGGCCGTACCAGGATCACCAGGACATGATCCGGAAGAAAAGAAACAGCAACGAGATCAAGTGGACACGCAGGGCTGCTAAGCAAGGCATTGATGGGGGCGCTAAGCTCCCCCGCGTCCACTAAGAGCGCCGAAGCCGCCGCCGTGAATCTGGCGCCTCCAAGCAGCAAGTCGCCGAGCGGGAGCCCCTTTGCGAGTCTCGAACACGCGGAGGCTGCCTTGGAATCCAGGAATCCAGGGGGCGCACAGGCAGCGCAGCATTGCAGCAGTGGGCTTGGGTGTCTTGCAGCACAGCATGAAGCAGCTGATGGGCGGCTACCGTATGTTACGTGGGATGGATTCGAGGTGACGTGAGAGCACACCGAGATGCAGCTGGACGCCCCTGCAAGGGTAGCACAGCTTATTGGGTGTTGACGCAGTGCTTGCTGGCTAATTCTCCCCGGAGGCGCTAATTGGCGGCCTAAAAGACGCCAGCATGAAATCCCATTGCTCAAAACGCAAGCATTGCCAACCACCAGATGAGCTTTTGCTTTTCCCTTCTTACTCGTCCATGTCAATTACTGTACTTGCGGGGCGACGATTCATCCGAGTCAATTTTTTTCTATTTTCTATTGACCTCGACTGATAAAAATAGAACTCAACTGAACTGAACCGAACCTGTCTGTGTCTGGTATGTACTGCTGAAATCCTGTTTGCCTCGAGTTGACTTGATTGTCCGCACCCTGGCCCCGAACATGCCATGCCGCCGTGCCCTCATCCCATCGTCATAAGAGGCAAAGCTGTCTTCGGATCCAATGTTTTGTTTGCCATCAACCACATCACGTCACATCACGTCCATCCCCCGTGATTCGCTGCCCTCAAACATCTAGATTGAACCGTGTCCTCTGCTGTCTGGTGTTGCGCAACCTTGAACCCAGTTCAGTTGACCCGTTAGCGCCAGCAGTACTTGACGGCCTTCCAGTTTGCTTTACAGGGCCCTGTCACCGCAAACCACCCGTTGACAGCACTAAGCATCAGCTGGCTGGACTGATGGATTTGGCCTCCCCGCCGTCCCCGCCCATGTCATCCATTTCTATGCCCCCTCCGATGCCCGAACTCTAAAATAGCACTGCTCTGATCGTTCATGTCCGGCAAAGCTCACTGGCACAGTCTCTCGACTTCTTGCGACGCCCCTTAGACATCCCTGGAATTCGCATCGAATCACGGCTGCACTAGGCGCCTGGACCATCCAATCACGCTGCGTCCCCTTCGTTCCCCCACGAGCGCGATAACCATCCGCAACCCCGCGACGACAGCTCTCGATAGCCCCAACACCCTTTGTTCTCGTTCTGCGACACTGACCTATACCTCCTCGTATACATCAACCAACCCCAAACGTCCAACTCCGGCCCCGGAAGTCTCCTCCTCCTCCACAAACTGGCCGGTAACAAGCGTCGCAGTCTCTCCTCTCACGGAGGAAGTCTGCTAAATAGAATGTTTGGCGGAGCCTCCACCAACTCGGCGGCCAAGTCTGACAACGATTCCAAGAGCGACGGCAAGTCGCCCTCGCCCGAGGCCAGCCCGACCACGGCGTCTGCGCTGCCCATCAAGAACGCGGACCAGGCGGCCAGCGGCGAGAAGCGCAGCGGCAATGGCAGCCCTCCCACTCGACAGGATACCGGCGAGAAGAAGCGCAGGAGTAGTGGCGTCAGCAGCAAGGCCAGCAGCCTGCTAGCTTCGGCCAGGAACTCGCTCAACTTCTCCCAGGTTGGTCGCTCCGGGTCCGACGCAAACGCTCAGACGCCGCTCCAGAAGCTCGGGAAGCAGGACCCAGCTCTCGCCGTGCCCCAGGGCCAGCACAACAACTCGGCTGGCGATTCGGTCCCCGGACCAAAGTCCACCTTCCGCGTCGGTGTTTGGGAGGATAGGAATAAGAAATGCCGCCGGACGATGGAGGACACGCATGCCTTTTTGTACAACTTCTTGGACACGCCCGCCCCTGCGGTTGACGCATCTGCCGGAAAGGACAAGTCAAGTAAGGACGACAAAGATGCCTCTCAACGAGAGGTCTCCGAGTCGGACAACGGCTACTTTGCCATCTTTGACGGCCATGCTGGCACATTTGCTGCGGACTGGTGCGGCAAGAAGCTTCACATTATTCTAGAAGACATGATACGAAAACACCCCAATATGCCGATCCCCGAGCTCTTGGACATGACGTTTACAGCTGTCGACTCCCAACTCGAGAAGCTTCCGCTCAAGAACAGCGGCTGCACGGCCGCCATTGCCGTTCTTCGATGGGAGGACCGCGTGCCCAGCGATCGATCCGTCACCGGTTCTCTGGCCATTGCCCCAGCTGCCGCAAACGTTGCTGCCGGCAAGGTTTTGGCCAAATCGCAAGAATCAGAAAAGGAAAAAGATGGTTCATCAGAACCATCACAGGCCGTTCCCAGCGAGTCTATAACGGCGAAGCTCAGGGGAATGGCCACTCGACAACGTGTCTTGTACACGGCCAACGTGGGAGATGCGCGCATCATCCTCTGTCGCAACGGCAAGGCCTTGCGCTTATCCTACGATCACAAGGGCAGTGATGAAAACGAAGGCAAGCGAATTGCCAACGCCGGAGGTCTCATCCTCAACAACCGCGTCAACGGAGTCTTGGCTGTCACCAGAGCACTTGGAGATACCTATATGAAGGATCTTGTGACTGGCCACCCATACACCACCGAAACGGTCATACAACATGACCTCGACGAATTCATCATTATTGCTTGTGATGGGGTAAGTGTCCGTTGGAATGGGTTATTGTCTGGAAAGATGCGCTAACTTGGTGTGAATAGCTATGGGATGTATGTAGTGACCAAGAGGCTGTTGATCTCGTCCGAGACGTTCACGATCCTATTGAAGGATCAAAACTACTAGTCGACCACGCTCTCAACCGATTTAGCACAGATAATCTGTCATGTATGATTGTGCGATTCGACAAAGAGGCTCTTGCGCAGAGCCAAACCAACCCAGCCCGCCAGGATACCGAAGCCGAATCGAACAACGGAACTGCGGCAAAGGTCAGTGAGGTGGACAAGATCATCATGGACACAAAGCAGAAGATTGCCGAGGGCAAAACCCCGGCGGTGGGCGTGTCAGCCAGCAATAGCGGACGTGGATACGACAGTGTTCCCGTGCAAGAAGAGGGATTTGTTCCCACGAGCTTGAGTGATGCATTAGTCGAAGAGCCTATTGCCATTGAGGAAGATGATAGCCCTGAGTTGGCTCCGACCGAGAACCCGGCTGATGCTGCTGCTGCTGCTGCTACTACTGCTGCGCCAGAATCAAAACCCGAATCAAAGGAACCAGCAGATGCCTAGGATTCAGACACCCCTGCCGTCCAGCCAGAGGCCGTCTAGCAGTCCCGATTGAATCACTCGGACGAGCCCTCCAACTGGATTGAGCAGGGGTGGAAGTGGTAGCAAATACGGCCCATATCTACATAGTACACGCGGCGAAGCAGTTGGAGGAGGAACCCAGTCAGCGGAGAGGGTGGAATCTGGGGATCTGTTCGGCTCGAGTATTCAAATACAAAGGAAGAGAAAGACGAGACGGTGACGAGGCTGACGTCTCATAGGGTAGTGGCGTACGGTTGGACAAAGACCAAGATGGCAGTCCAGGTTTTGTACGCTACCTGTATCTGTATGTAAGAGAGTGCGATGTTTGGGTTGTTTTTTGCGGAATGCAAGACTATTGATATCGAGTATACTACTATGTTTGGCTTTGATTGATGGTGCTGATGACTTTTGTCACTCGCATTTCTGCTCCGTGTTGATGTGTAAGCTTGACGTCGCCTTGTAATGCTCAAGATGAGTTATAATAGATGGAGCACGCCTCTGCCATTAGTTGTGATATACGCAAGCCACTTGATACCAAACAGGAAACCCGACTCCTTACTAATGGTGGAGCAGAGGGTAGTAAAATACAAGACAGGCTCCCAGACGTTGTTCCTTCCTCATATTTCAGCCAAGATGACTAATAAGAAGACGAAGATACAGTAGAGAGCAGCAAATGATCCTCCACAAATGATTGCGCACGAAGCATCAACAACGCCATTAACTGCTTCTTGTCAGCAAGCCGCAAATTATGGCAGCCAGAACGAGCCAATGAAAGAGCTACAGCTGCACCAGCCATCCGGAGACACGGCCGGCCTCCACTAGTGATGCTACTGCCAGGATGGGTAACGATGGGGCTTGTGCAGACAGCAGCTGCACGACGTGCGTTTCAGAGCCAGCCACAGCCACGGCATTTGGGCGGATCGGGGTTGATGCTTGCATGTTGGACGGAGCGATCAATTTGGCTGGAGCAACAGCAACAGCAGCAGCACGAAGAAGGGGATCGGCAGCCTCACCGTACGCACCGGCATAGCAGCGACAAACAAACAAACAGACAAACAATCGCAAGCCAACGGGCAGCTCGTCGCCATCACCACCGAGAAAGACGCTGTGCCACTACCAGCGCAATTATTGGAGGGGCCTTGCGCTAGGGGGGGCCCAAGCTCATTTCAAAAATTAACGAAATGGGGATCCCCCGGTCGCGGTTGATGAAGACAAAGTCCAATACGGAGCCCTTCCCGTGAGCGAACCACGCGGTTGGCTGGCGTCGATACCCCTGGTTCCGGATGGGGGCTTGCAGGGGCCCCCTAAATGGCCAGCTAAACCCCCTTAAGCTAACTGGCCTCGAATACCTCGAAGCATCACGGCTTGCTAGGCAAGGAAGAGGAATGCAAGGCCGGCTGTCGAGATGCGATGGATGCTCTGTCGTGGGCCCCGCGCCTGATTGGAACGCGTCTGCTTGGGCAAGGGCTCTTATCATTCGATTCCAATGGCACGGTAAAAGCCTTTTGGCTGTCTTTGATGCGTATTGGTAGAAGCGAAGGCTGTTGTCCGTCTGTGCTTTGTGTGGGTGGCACCGAGCATGTACGAGTACTGCCTGCTTAGACCCCCTTGCCTCCATGTATCTGCGGCGCGGCGCTTAGCAACAAGTGGACTCAGGCACAGGCATAGGCACATACGATCTCGCGACTTGCAGCGCCTCATTTTTTTCTTCTGTTTTGCGCAGCCAGCAAGAGTGAGAGCGTTGTGCCAGAGTTGGGCTCCACGAAGCTTGATGTAATTCCGATCCGGCCGGCAGCTCACGATTCCTTGCACCTCCCCATCCTGACAGAGACAGGCCTCGATCTGCCGTACCAGGACAGCTTCCACAGGCGTCAAGGTTGCTGCATGCGATACGCTTCCCCCACGTCGCGATTCGTTCGCTCTCCATGCCCATCGTCGTCGCATCCTGCCCCTGAGTATTGGTGGTAGCACGCTCGCAAAGCCGACGAGCGCGCCGTACTGTGTTCTGTTTGCCCTCGGGCACACAATTTTTCATTCTCAGTCCTTCGTTACTGGTGCTATTCATTTTTCGCTTCATTTTTAAGAAAAGAGACTTTTCTTTGTCGCTCTTTATTCGTCGCTTTTCTCCACCTGGCCTTCTTTGAGATTCCTCTGGGTTGAGCTGGACTTGGCCGAGCTGGTTGGCGGAAGCGATCGAACCATAGATATCGGAGCCACATCCGAGCAAACATGTCGCTAAACGGCTTAGACGATCCCAAGATTGTAGAGGCGCACGAGGCTGGCGTTGCTGAGCCTGGAGGATGGTATGCATGGTCCACTCCCCAATCTAAGTGCTATATAAGATTTCCATTTGCTGAGACCCTGCCTTTGCTCGTGTTATCGATAGGTTTCTCCTCAAGTATTCGAGTCGCGACGAAGTCGAGTTGTTGGATAAGGGAAATGGGGGCATTGTCGAAATTCGAAATGCCATTGCCGGCTTTGAGGAAGAAAGCCCATTGTACGGCTTCCTGCGGTACCGGAGGAGGAATGTCATTGTCAAATACCTACCTGAAGACTGCTCTCGGCTCATACAAGGTAAGCTCTTTGTGCTCATGCCTTTGCCTAATCTTTGGATCAGCGGGTGATCTGCGCTGCAGTCATCATTGGATGCTAACTGCGACAAACTAGCTCGAGTTGCCGTGCACTTCAATGCCGTCTGCGAACGATTTTCCCCATACGATACCATTTTCGAAATCTCTACGGCTGCCGAGCTGAGAGACACGAAGCTATCCGCTGCCTGCTCCCTACATGCGGCATCTGGATCTACAGCATCATCCATCAGTTCACGAAGACGACGGTTGGTAGAAATCGCCGAGGAGGACGAAGAGGATCAACGATCATCAAAGCGACAGTCAGTGCTGGAATCCGACGACGGCCGGCCGCGAACACCTGGCGACAGGTCTACAGCTGCAGATGAGGTCAAGCTAAACTCTGAGCTGGCATCTTCGCCCGAGCACAGCAAATTTGCAGGCTCGACGACTTCTGAGGTCCCCAAGTTTCTAGGCATTCCCGACGCTCCACCTTCGCCTACGAGATCGGTCGATACCACCGACAGCTACAACTACTACCCCAGCAAACCAAAGGTGAAGCTCGCCCCCCGACCTACGGCCGACGGTGCGATAAGGCCACAGACTGCTGGAAACTTTAGACCAGTTTCATCTCTACCGGCTGGGTACAAGTTTGGAAAGGGCCAGAAGAAGGGCAAAGGGAAGGACGGAGACTCTGCTTCTTTGATTCATGAAGAGATCCCAGAGATGGAGCCGCCTGCTGATACTACTACGTTATCGGTGCCAGAGGACTCATTGGGAATCACTACCGATGCCTCACGACCATCCACGAGCACGGGACCAGCGGCTGATACGTTGTCTGTGCTGTCTGTGCCGGTAGCGCCAGCCAAACCTACCATTACCCCCGAAAAAGCTAGGCTCATGAAGGCCATGAAGCTTAGGGAGAAGAAGAAGCAGCAGCAGCAAAAGAAGCAGAAGCAATCTGCAGAAGGGACCGAAGCTGGAGTGGATACACCCGGCCCCGAAGATAAGAATGCAATCACGGGAGGAGAAGACAGTGAGGGAAAGGATGTGGAGCACGCTGCGGATGCCGCTATTGAAAGCCATGATAATGATGATAATGATGGACCAGACGCTGAAGAAGCAAACACTCCAGAGGATGAAGAGAAGCAAAAGAGCGAAGCAGCTGAAGATGGAACAGCCTCCATCAGCCAAGCGGATTCGGGCGTGGTCTTGGATAGTCTCTCGTCGTCTGTGCAGATAGATGAAGTGTCTGAGGGAACTCGATCGGAGTCTCGTGCCCAGAGCCCGGCAGTTACCTCTTCGGAGCACGAGCACGATGAGTCGACAGCCGCATCTTCCCTTTCGGATTCCACCGACGAGACCGTTCATGCGAAGAATCAAGATGAAGTAGATGATGCCGCCTCGACTGCTGTTGCCACGGAAGATCAGGAGGGCCAGGAGCCAGCCGCTGTTGCTGCAGCTCCCATTCCCGCTGCACCGAAGGATGAGGGCCGAGACGCAGAAGTTGACGTATCGGCATTGCTGTCGCCTGCAGCTGTTGTCGCAGCTACTGATGCAGCTACTGATACTGCTGCAGCAGCTGCAGCCTCTTCTGCCGCTGCATCATCGTTGGAAGAAGATGAGTCGACCACGACGAGTCAATCAAGAGAGACTGGCAGCTCAACCGCATTGGAGCCCACTGAGATTGCTGCCGGGGCTGCTAATAAGGGATCGGCTAAGGCCGAAAATGAAAAGGAGAAAAAAGGGATTGCAGTGCCAATTTCAAAGTTCTCGGCGAATATTCCGACGTCAAAGGACCCACCGGCCGCCTCATTAAGTGGCATGGGATCTGGCGCAGGCGAGATTCCACTCGGTGCGACCCCCGGCGATGTTGCGCAGGCAACGGACAAAGGGGAATTAGAAGCTTCTCCACCATCCATCCTCTCGACGCACGACTTGGTCGCCTCACAAACAACCGTCATGGAGATGGATCTCCAGACGGACCCGTTGCCGGGCGCTCATCCTCATGAGGCAATTCCTGCAGCAGCGACGGCTAGTCAGGCGGCCGCTCCCGACGAGCCACAGCTGCGCTCCAAACGCGCGGCTGGGCTGGCACCGATCCGCACCGATCTGGGCGACGTTGACAACGACAACGGCGACAACGACAACGAGGACGGCGACAACGACAACGACGGCGATGCCCTCGTCCAGGAGGCCCAGGGCGACGACGCGCAGAAGGATAATAAGCCAATGGTTGCCACCAAATCTCCGCTCACCCCTGTCTTCCCCAGCGCTCCCATTGCGAATGGGCCGCTAGGCGCTAGAGCTCCACCAGCGCACACCGTTCGAACAGTCTCTAATCCTGTCCGTGGCAACTTCATCGCTCCGACAGATGTAACTCAGTCTACGGCGCGTTCTCTGAGTTCGGGCGCAGCTTTCTTACACAAGGTCACGCAGCAGCAGTCGGCCAGCCTCGCCACCATGAAGCCCAACGTCGGGTCCAGTATTTCGCAGCGCATCAAGGCGCTCGAGAAGCTGTCGGCCACATCAGGTGATCAGTCGCGGCCCGTCAGTCGAGAGCGGCCGTCGTCGACCTTCTTCGCCGTGCAGAAACGGGACACGTCCAGGCCGCCGTCGGTCGTGGACAGGACAAAATCCCTCAAGGGCCGGGCCGCCTCGCCGACGCCTTCGCACCAGGACGATGCGCTGTTCGAGGGCAGAGTGCGGCTGCAGAGATCAGGATCCGTCGTCAGTCGGGTGTCCATGTTTGAGCCGCTGGCCGCCTCTGCCTCGAGCCCGCCGTCGGGCCTGGCGCCCGGCACCCAGTCGCGAGGCCGGCCGGAATCCGTCGCCATCACCACAAAGATCATTCGGGACCCAAGCCAGCTGTCTGGGTATGAGCTGCCAAAGGACGCTTCTGATTACGGCTATCAGTCGCCGCTCACGGCAGACCACCACCGAGGTGATGACGGCTCAGAACGGAGGTCCAGATCTCGAGAGCGCGGCGGCGAGGACGACATGGGTAGGCGATCCTCGCTAAATGCGGTAAAGGGGTTCTTCAAGGACCCTCGGAAGACGGTGACGGTGTCGACTAACATGCGCCATACCATAGTTTCTAGGACAACAACCCAGTCGCCCAGCAGTGCGAGCCACCGCCTGTCTATTGGCAGTCGCCGCTCCATAACCTTGGATCGCGACATCTCTAGTGTGACTGAAGATTCCTTTTCCGGCGATGAGAAGTCTGACAAGAAGACGTCGCGCGCCGGGCGCTTTATGCGCAAGCTTTCTAGTCTCTCCAGTGGGTCAAAGAGCAGCAAGACGAATACGGCCCCCTCGCCAGACGAGAGCCGTGCTGCTGCTGCATCTCAGAATGCCGGTGCAGACCGTCAACAACAGCCTGCAGCGGCTCCTCCCGTCAGCTCCGGCGAAGCATCCATCGTATCAGATATGGGAGACGTTAACGTCCAGTTCCCCGATAACCTGCTGTGGAAGCGACGTAACCTCTGCCTCGACTCACAGGGATTCATTATCCTCAGCGCTCTGCCAGCGCAGAGCAGCCGAACGGCGCAGGGAACCAAGAAGTACCACATGGGCGAGTTTCGACAGCCCTACACTCCGGACGTGGAGGTGCAGGAGCTGCCAAACAGCGTAGTCTTGGACTTTGTCGAGGGCACTGGCATCCAGCTGGCGTGTGAGGATAGGAACGGACAGATGAATGTGCTGCATGGTATGATATGACTGCCTTTTTTTTTTATTGTGTCGTGAGTGAATGAAGACGACGTGGTGGCTAACTGATCATGTCTAGTTTTGCAAGCTGCTCATGCTAACCACAGCCGATGAGTTTGCGTGAAGCATCGACCTTCAACTAATAAGGAGTGAGCGTTTATACCTGGCGCTCACAACCCACACTGAATTATCAAAAAGGCTAATTGAAAGCAGCATATACACACACATACATGTATATGTATGCCCTTGTCCTCTGCCCCCAACGGACTCATCATGCTCATGCTCTCCATGTCTGCACGATGTTGGATTATCTTATCATGCACTTTAGACTCTAACCTTCCCTTTATGTCCTACTCTTCTCTTCTTTCCTCTCTCACTCTTCACTCTACTCTCACTCTCAGACACACACACTCTCTCAAACTCTCCTTTTCACCGAAACAAACTACCTTACCTATTATTACACATAGAAAGTTGGGAACCGGGGGGGACGGAAAAGGGGATGGGGGGGAAAGGGTGGCCTTTGCAAAAACTTGACTTACCAAAAAAATAAATAGTTGGAGAACGTCGTTGCTAACATACGCCCAAAAGGGCGGGAGAAGGGGAAAGAAAGAAAGATGTAACGATGTGATATATATATATATATGTATATATATATATATATATGTACATGTTGAATCTCTTTCCCGTCCTTACATATGTTTTTTTCTTGCCTGTTATTCACTACACACATCACACATACACACACATACACACCTCCGACGAGCAGAACCAGATTTCTTCCCTTTTTTTCTGTTTTTTTTTTACTACCTCTTTTTTCTCATATTCTTCTAGCAAGGATGGAGACCGCCCTTTTTTATGTACTACTTATTTGTACTGTACTCTTTTTTTTTTTTTTTTCACATGATACCATGGCAAGCAGCAATTTCTTGCTTATATATTCTTTATTCTATATTGTTTGTCATTATTCATCTCCTCTCGCAGCATACGGCTTACACCTTTTTTCTTGTTGTCTTTTCTTTTTTTGCACAGATAATTCCCTTCCTTTTTTATATGTTTTCTTTATAGTTGGTGGAGGGAGAGGGGAGGGAGGAGGGGGGGAGGATATATAAGATGAAAGACGAAATTGTTTAAAAAAAAAGTGGTTTTGTGACAGTTGAATGGTGTGGGATGTGGGTTATAGATGATGGATGGATGGATGGGTGGATGTCGTGGATTTTAGATAGAATGAATAAATTGAGTAAATTTATAAGAGTGTGGAGAAGAAGATGGGGTATGAATGAATCAGGAGGATGAATTGTAAACATTGAGTTGTATAAGAGTTCATGTGAGAAAGGAGACCGTTGAGCAAATACTTGTATCACAACAATAAGCGGGATAACTCAGCAAACAGACAAAGAGAGAGCCTCATGAAATGCTAATTCGAATTCCCAGTCCACTATATTCCGCGAGGACCCTAATAATTAAAAGACATCTGCCAAACAAGAAGCCTGTACAAAACAAGACGAATTGTTTTGTTCTCATGTTCCGAATACTATATCCCCCCATTAACTTTTCTTTTTTTAAAAACCCCTCCAAATGAAAACAACTCATATTCATCATAACATCAGATCCGTCACACTTCCATCAACTCGCCGCTCCGCTCGCACCCCCCGGCCCATCCAGCCCCGGAAACTGCACAGGATCCATAGCCATGTACTCCAACAAATCCAGCCCACCGACATTCACGCCCTCGGCCGTCATGGCGACGGAGCTATTCTCCATGTTCTGGAAGAACGCCGGGCCGGGCGGCAGATACCACATCTCGCTGCCGGCATTGTTCCACTCGTCAAACAGGTTGACGTCCATGTTGCCCGCGCCAGAAGTGTTGCTGTTGTCTGCCGCCGGCGTCGAGGGACCGATGGACGATGCTCCGTGGTATGGGAAGTTGCCAGTTGAGAGGTCAAAAGGCGTGGCAGAGATGTTGTTTGCCTCGGTGGTGTTGGTGGCGCCGGGAGTCGGCACTCGATCTGCAGCAGTCAAGGTTAGTTTGCGGGAACATATTAAACAGTCTATGAGAGTCTTTCAACTTACAGTGTCCGTTGAGGCCTTCTCGGAGCCTCTGCGCGTGGTTGCCCACCCAGGCCGTGCCATTCTCGCCATTCTCTCCGTTTTGCACCGGCTGCACGGCGCCCGCATTCCCAGTCTCCGGGACGGGGCTCTGTGCCTTGGCAGACGGCTGCTGCATCGGCGCCTGAATGAACCGGTTCCGCAGTCGGCTGGTCAGGGATTCCAGAAGGTCGGCGAAGCGGATGCCCAGATGCACGTCGTCAACAATGCAATTGCGCAGAGCCTCGACCGTGGCGTCCATCAGCTCGATGCTGAGCTTGACATCCGAACGAGGAGCACCCAGGGCAAAAGTCTTGAGCAAAAACATGGCACCGCTGATGATGCGAAAGTACGTCCGCACGGGCGCGTGCTTGAGGTATCCGCCGGGCAGCAGCCCCTCGACAACCGTCCGCAGCAGATTCCGGCTTCCATCCACCACCTCGCGCACATACTCCTGGTCGTGGACCGTGAAGCCTCCCAGCTGGCCCAGGGGCAACTTTCCGTAGTTGATCATGGTCTGCGGAGACAGGTGCGTCGGCTGCAGCCCGTTGCCAGAGCTGGAAGTGTTGCCCGCATTGTTAGTGCATCGCTCGACGACCGCCTGCAACGAGAGGGAGTTGATGTAGATGCGGACATATTCGTACTCAATGGTCAGAATATGTCGAATGTACTGCGGCAGACGGAACAGCTCAAACTCTCGGTACCAGTCCTTGAGCAGCGGCGTGAAATCCCGTAGCAGGTCGACGTATTTGCCCGACTGGATAATCTCTGTTGTGTGCTTGCGCGTCTTGAACAGCTTCTCGTTGCCGAGGTGCATGGCATTGCTGATGCCCGCCCAGCAGTGGATGATTTGGTCGTCAAGCTCGAGATCCGGGACGTAGTTGAATCCGTTTGCTAATGAAGACGGGTTGGTCGCGGGCGTGCTGCTGTCGTTGGTCAAGGGTCTCTGGCGAGCGACGGCAGGGTCAGCCTTTCTAAGGTGCTCCGGCGTCATGCTGGTCCAACCCAAGCGGCCTGCAAGCTGGCTCGTGTAGATAAGCAAAAGCCGCTTGATGCGATTTGCTCGCTGGCGATACACTTCGTCCTTGTACTCGGGACGAGTGATGGCATCGTCCTTGAGCAGCTCATCAATGTCGTCAAACACACCCAGCTCATAGGCCAATCCCATGGCTGTACTGAGCAGCATCCAACACATGCGATCACTCCTCCACGCCGGCTCTAGCCAGCTCTCGATCCTCTTGCCGCCAATACCCGGTCCCATTGTTCTATGCAGCTCATCCTCAGATGCCATCAACGGTGAAGCCTCCGCAATAGGGAGAACCAGTTCATCCGTGGCCTCTTGCGGGGGAAAATGCAGCGCACGAGGATGCCACTCGGTCAGAATCAGTAGCGACTCAATGGTGCCCAGGGTTCTCAAGCTGCCTTTGCGAAGTCCTCGCCAGGGCGCTGTGCTGCTCGTCTGAGACTCTTCAGTAATCATTGAAGTTGAAGCAGACCCTGAGCCGCAAAAGCCACCCCCGAATGCTTCTTGACCCCACAGACATCTCTCAATCATGCCACGCAGATAGGTCCATAGCTGTTCTGGCACCGCATGAGATCGACATATGCCACCGGTGCCGGGAAGCTGGCAATATCTCGAGGAAATCGTAAGCAAGGTAACCGTGAGAATAGGCTCCTCAGTCAAGAGGGTCAGGTGAGACGAGGGATTGCTAAAGGTAGGGGGCGAAATCGGTGTAAGTGGTGACAGGTATTTGTAGTAGCTACAGTAAAGAAAATAAAAAGTCAGCCTCATTAGAACATAAAAGGGGAACAAGTCTTGGGCCTACTAGTCTATGTATTCAATGGCCTCTTGCGCAGTGAACCACCCAGCACGCACGAAGCGGAACCTCGACCAGGCTCTCAGGGCATCCTCATAGCCGGGCTGGGCCCTCAGAGTCGGACGGGTCAGGTTGGGGTCGATGGACTGCTCAGGCCGGACGGATACAGATGGTCCCCTCGACCGGGCACGAAGACCGGGCTCGTCTGCTGCCTGGGATTGCTGAGGCGGGCCTGGAGCAATGGACGCCATGCTTGGCTGGCGCCTATGTGTATCCGCAGCCGGGCTGGACTCGCGGTTAGCAGTGCCGTACGCAAGCGACGATGGCATGACAAACCTATCCGTCGCGGCCTTGTAGAGGAGGTCGAGGGCATCGTGCGGGCCGTAGACGCCGCGCCTCATGACGGTCTGGGCCTCGAGGTTCTCCAGCGTCTGGTTGGAGTCGCCATCGCCGTCAAACTCGCCGTCGTCGCGCCCGCGGCCACCAACCTTGCCATCGGGCCTTCGCAGCGGCTGGTTCCTGCCGTGAGAGCCCCCCGGCGTCAGGGGCGTGTCGCTGTACTGCCGCTTGTCGAAGCGCGAAAAGGGCGGGCTGTCGGCGGCGTGCAGCTTCTTGCGGCCGTTGCGCACCACGTACTCGTCGGCGTCGCTGTCGTCCTCGTCTGTCTTTCTCTTGCGGCGCGTGGCGCTGAAGAAGCACTCCTTGCTCTCGCGGCGGCAGCGCACACACGGCGGATCGTGGGGGTTGTCGACGCTGCCCAGGTCGCAGCGCACCTTGCGGCGACGGCAAGGGATGCACGCCTGGTAGACGCGCTTGTGCTGGGGGACCTGCGTCTGCCCCGAGCCAGAGCCAGTCGCGGCGGCCGTGGGCTGATGCTGCGCTGATGCCGTCGTCGCCGTCGACTGGGCGGGACTGGCCGTGCTGGCATATTGGGCCATTTCGTCTCTGCTTCCGAACCACCACCAAACGGGTGTGAGATTGTCGAGCGGTTTGCGGCGGGATGGCGAGGCAGTAGGCCGAAGTCAAGCGAACAACGAAGCCTGCGGGGTCTGTCTCGCTGAGCGAAAAGGCAAAATCAAACGTATAAAAGAGGCAAAATCGAACCACCTCTGCAGGCAATGAAAGGGTTCAAGCGTAAAAAAACCCCCGTGATCTTTTTTTACTTTTCCTCGATCCTCTCTTTTTCTCTCTCTTTTTGCCGGCCCTGGTTGAAGATTAAAAAATAGGAGAAGAGAACCGCTGCGGAGAAGGGACAAAAAAAGAAAGCGAGAGAGAGAGAGAGAGCCGGTGTTGTGTAAGAAGAGGAGGGAATGCGCAGCGCCGAAGCCGAGAAAAAAAAAAAAAGACCAATTGAAGCCAGGCCGCAGATGAAAGAAGAACGTAACAGTTTACCAATTTTTTTCTCCTCGTCACCCCTTCTCTGAATCGCTTCTCGATTTTTTTTTATTTTTATTTTTTTGGCAATTCCAGACCTTTTTTAGCAGCACTCCTCTCTGGTACTTTTTGTCCCTGTTCCTTTCACGGCCCCAGATAAACGTGCCCTCCTTCCCCTCTCTTTTTCAATGGTTCCCGAGCCGCGTGCCCCCCAGAAAGTGCCAAAAGCCACGAGGCGATAAGGCCAAGCCAGCGCAGCAGCAAGCAGCAAAAACGGCGGAAAAAGAACCTTGGAAGAAAAAGAGTTCACTGTACGGGGGTACGAGAAAAGAGAAAAAAAGGTACCAGGTACCCGCTGCCTCGTACCCGCTACCGTACTTGTACATGCCGCCAAAGCGGAAGCGCAGCCCGCTTCCCTCTTTCCTGCACCGTCCCCCCCCGGGCCCCGCTCGTCGCTCCCACGCGTCGGCCAATCAGCGCCGCCAATCAGCGTGCTATTAGCCAATAAGAGCCCGCTCCGACCAATCGCGACCGCCACAGGTGCTGGGAAGGAAGGTCACGTTGACGCAAGGACTTGGCCTGTCGCATTGGCCCGGTTCGCCAGTCCGAGGTACTGTATACTTTGTTTGGATGTTGTTTGTCATCGCTCTGCTTCACCGAGAGTCGAGACGAGACGTTTCGTGAGCTGGCGGCTTGGTTACGCAAGGGGGGAGCAGGTTTGTTAGGCATCAGCATCAGCGTCGGTGTCATGTGGATTGTGCATCTCACCAACGTCCAAGACACGGGCTGCTATTTCGGGCGTGTCAATTGAGGTATTCGTTACTAATCGAATGCAGTTGGTCACGCAGCGATATACAGTATAAAACATCAGTCTTGACCTTAACAGTAGAGCATCACAGCCTCCAATCCAACAACCGGCAGTAAGAAAGGAACAGGCAAGATTTGCTGTACTACTTGTACATTAGATTGACCAAGAAAGAAACCAAGTCAATCCATGCAAGCACATACTTTGCACATATCCATTCACGCCCAATAGAGACCGCCTGATAAGACTGCTCCAGTCGCCTGCAAGGGACCATCAAATGTCACTCTCACATGCATCTTTACTCACAGCACCAAGTCATCAACCCGAGCCGATTCAACAAATACACCAGTCAGCAACGGTCAATCTCATTGGCTTTCGATTCATCACTTTCAAATTAATACCGAAAAAGCAACAACCTAGAAATCAAGCATCTCCATGCTTATTTTTCCTCCAACATACACACACACGACTTCAGCCCAACACGCCCCTCGTAAAAAGGAAACCATTGTGATGAAAGATCCCCGGCCAGCCTTGTTTTTGTTTTTTCTCTTCTCTTCCGAGCTAATGAATTCTTCTTCACGACTTTCGATGCGAGGCGTCCTCCTACTACCAGGGGACGGGGGGACCGCAGAAACTGAAAAGAGGCAAACGGGAAAAGAGCACAAAGGGTAATTATTTCCCCTCAAGTAAAGAGAAAAAAAGCGAACGAGTAGAGGATATCGAGTAGATTTCGTCGTGAAACAAACAAACAAAATGTCAAGACCGATTTCGCGGTTGTCGTTTTAAGCGAATTGTTGTTGCCAGGCTTTTGCCGCCTCGTCTCTGTACCCTTTGCGTACACATAACCAAATTACTTCCGTCGTATCGATCGATCCTTTGTGCGTGTTCTCATAATGCTCCCTGCCGTGACAATAAAAAAGAAAAAACATGGCTACTCTCATCTCATCGGCCAGTGCCTGCATCCCCCTAATATCGGGTCTCCAAGACACGGCGGCACCCAAAGGCGCATATTCTTAGGCGACAAGACCCTTCTTGGACTGCGTATTTTCAAGCCGCGGTTAGAACGCAACGTAAGGAGTTGTCTCGTCGGGACAGACTCACCAGGTGCTCCCAGAGCTTCGTTGTCAACGTATCCGGCATGGTGTACAGATCGATGGAGAATTCGCCAGCTTCAAACAAGTTATTCACTACAATTCCAAACGAGAGCATCAACACAGGGGTTGGACAAGTTCAAAAGACGGAAAGGAGATGGGGGTAATTCAGTAAATCGAGGAATGGGCAAAGGTGCATGCTGGTCCAAGGACTCACCTTCAACGTCACTTCGGATATACGTATCAGGGCCCTTGTTCTCGTTAATGAGCTGAATGACGCGCAGCAGGTCCTCCTCCTCGAGCTTCTCGAGAGCCTCAGCAATCTTCTCGTAGTCGTACTTCTGAGCGCCCTTCTTGCCCGCGAGGCCCTTCTTCTTAGGCCGTTCTTCATCGGAAGGCAAGGGGCCCGTCTCGCGAAGCCTCTCCTGCAGTGCCTGGGAAGGGTTCTTGAAGACGACGGTGTGCGTGACCTCGTACTTTTCCTTTTGGAAATTCAGGTCGTGGATGATGGGAGCCAGCTTGGTCTTTTCCGTGGTGTAGAGGTCGATGCCAATCTCAAACTCACCCCAACCCTCGTTGGAGCAGATGAAGGGGGGCTTGGTGAAGGCTGAAGTAGGTAATTCATGTCAGAGAGCTGTGGAAGGCGTCCACGGCAAGGTCAGACTTACTCTGGACGGGGTTCTCGAATGTGGGGTGCAGGTTGTAGACAACCTTGGTGAAGACATCGGCGGGCCGCTCATTGCCATCCTCATCTAGAAGGTGAAGCCGCAAGCTCCATTGCCGCATAGGAAACTCCTGCACGGGAGAAGGCTTGTCGCTGCAGCATTAGGTCAGCATGAGGCACTACACGAGACCCAGCAAGAGCAGACAGAGGAGCCGAGCCATGAGACTCAAGTCTCTTCCGCGAGAGAAGAGAAATAAAAACGCAGTGCTGGCGGAGGGAACACGGTCAAAAACTCACATGACGTGCTGGTCCGTAACGACCTTGACTTTCCTCTGTTGCTCGTCAGCCCCAAGCCTCGCAGTAATCGCCAGCTTCGCAGCGCGCGGCGCCCCTCTGCGAATCGGCATCGTGAAAAACAGTAATGAGAGCGGTTTCAAATAGGAAACGAGAAAACGAAAGAAAAAAAGACGGCACTGCCTGCTGCGCAGATGGGCAGACGAGAAAACAGCCTATCCTTGACGATGGAAAACGCGCCGACGAAGCAAGCAAGCAGAGAGAAGGTGCGTATGTTGACCGAGAGACCAACGAGAGGAGAGAGCGTAGAAGCAGCATGGCCATCGCGTTGAAAAAGAAACCGAACAATGCCCATTCAATCGAAGATGCCAAGTGTCTGGCAAAAAAAGAATCCAGCCGGCAGGCAGTTGGCGAAATCGTCTTCCGTCACGAATTTTCTCGGCCCGCCGCAAGTCCGTCGCGATTGTAAAAAGCCCTCCTCTCAAAAACACACACACAACAACATCATCCCTTCTCTGCGAAGCTGCTCCTCGGGGGTCCTGCGTCTGTGCTCCCCTTTCACGGCGCAAGAAGAAAAAAGGGCATATTCGGCATGATCCGACGAATTATAAAAACCGTGTCCAATTGGACAAGCAACAAAACGAACACGAGAAGGAGAGAGAGAGGGGGGAGAAAAACCGCTGCGTGTAAAAACTCACCTCGACCAACATGATGCAATCGTTTTTCCTGGAATCCCTCCCTCGAAAACCGTTCTATTACGGGAAATAGATAATGGAGATGGTTGCAAATAATAAAAAAAAAACTCCGGGGCGGAAAAAAAAAAGGATGATACAAAAAAAAAAAAAAAGTATAAACTACAGAGACAAGCCTTACTGCGGCCCTTGTCCTGTCCTGTCCCAGTTCCTGTCTCGTCCTTGTCAGACACAACACACACACTCACGGCACAAACACACGCAAGCAAGCAAGCACACAAACACGCAAGCCAACCGAGAGAGGGAATAAAAAAAGGGGTGCAGAAACAGCGAGCGAAAGGGGTGACGAGAGAACGCACTTCGAATTGTTTTCGTCTTTCGAAAAAAATAATCCCGATGCCGGAACTCGCACTTCAGCGGGAAAATGTTCTTTTTTCTTGTTTCTTCCAACAGCTCGTTTTATTTGGGGGGGGTTGAAGGGAGAGTGCAAAAAGGCAACGACTAAGAGAAAAAAAAGGCTGGTGTGAGGCTGTTCCCTTGTTTTCCGCCCAGCTCAAGCCACTCAACTTGTGCCGCGTCTTCCAGGCAGGCAGGCTCACCTCTTTCTCAGTCCCTTTTCCTCTCTCTTCTATTTTTTTTTTTCTCCTCCTACCGGTTCCACCCTTGGGTATAAAATAGAACCTGAGCAAGGGCCCGGCCATCCGCCGTTTCGGAGCTAAGGCTGCTTAGGCCCCCCCTCCCTTCCCTTGCAGCTGGGATGGAAACTTTGCGTGCTGTTGCTTCGCTGTTGATTGTGTGGACAGTGGACAGTGGACAGTGGACAAGCACCAGCTCCGGCGTACTCCGTCATAGCTGGGCAGATCGGACGGAATCGAATCTTTTGCCATCGCATCGGCGCGCTAAGCCTGGGCCGAACAGCTGCGAAGAAAGAGGACGGACGGAAATGCCGCGAATTAGAGTATTCGGGATTTCGAGTCTGGATTCTGTACTCTTATTTGGACAACAACATTCCATATTCTGTATTCTGGATTTGACATGTGCTGCTTTCTTCCGTCTTTTCTTCATCTCCATCTTCCACAGGCACCAGCTTGTGTCTCCATGATGCAATCATATGGGGCGTAGAAAATACCCGAGTGCATCGGCTGCACAAGCGTCAAGCCATGCGCATTGTAGCATCTTGGCGCAATGCCTCATTCCATTCTCCCTCCGGCATCTACATCTGCAGCCGCCAAATACCTGCTGTACTGCTACTGCTACTACGACATTTGTGCCCTTGTGTAAAACAAATCTCCCATGCCGCAAGCAGACTCTTGATTACCTCACTCTCAAAACCACTCTACCACATACTCTCTACTTGAAATCATTCACTCTACTCATCATACATCACGCACTGCTCCTCTTGTGGTATCAACTTTTTATTCTTTCAGGGTGCTCTACTATCAAATGCCATTATTCGCTCTCCCCTCTAGGCATGCACCACTTGGTGCTCATTTCCCGGGGGGCTCTCCAGTCTCCGTGATCCAGATCGACTCTCTCTGGGCTACATCGACTTAGTACAGAGGCTCATATCGATCCATCTGTCGCGCGCGTGTTTGTGTACGGGTATGGTGTTGTCATGTTGTGTGTTGTGATGGGGCGTGGGGTGTGTAAGGTTCAAGCATCGCCGTGTTTAATTCAACGGCTGATACGGCGTAGTGATGGGGGGAAATTATGGTTCGAGAAGCGGCAAGCATTGATTTGGGGTTGACGGTCGGGTCAAGGGAGTATCGGCTTGAGCAGTCATTCTACTCCTCCTTCTTCTCCTCCTCCTCGTCGGCGGCCTGGAAGAGGTGGGCGCTGTCCTTTTGCGCCTTCAGGAAGGCATCCCGGAACTGGTTGGCGTCTGCAAATCATCATGTTAGTGAATATTCACGCTGGCCAGCGTTAAAGCACAAGTCTTGACATACTGTCGGAGTTGGCGAATCGGATAGCAAGAGTCACAGCCTCGGGCTCTCCCTCGCTGACATCAGCGGCAGCGTTCCACACCCAGCTTCGATCAGAGCCAACGTTGGGCGACAGCGTGATCTCGGGGACAACTGCGCGCACCTGTTAGTAAACCTAGTCCCTTTCTCCGTAGCCGTACGCCCGATCATGCGTGGGGCGACTGGGGGAAACGTAGATGTGGGGGAAAGAAACAACGTACTGTAGTGGTTGGCGCAGACCTTGAGGGTCTTCTCTCGTCGCATCACCAGTCGGACCTTGGCGTTCTCCTTGTGCTTGAGCAGCCTGACATCGCCAGTTCCTCGCTCCTTCCACTCGCCGGCGGTAGCGGGGGCCTCCTCGCCCTCCTTCTTGGCGGCCTTGACGAACTTGAACAGCTTGGCGCGCATTTTGAAGAGCTGCTCCTCAGACTCCTCGTTGGTCTTGACCTCGACCTTCTCGGTCAGCTTGACGACGGGCTCGAAGTGGACGTCCTCGCTCTCGGGGGCCTCGTCCTATCGACACGTTGTCAGCTGGGAGGGGATTTCCATAGAGAGATGTACCGCATTTTTCGCAGCTTACCTCCTCGCCCTTGGCCTCGCGCTGGGCCTTTGCGCTTCCGGAGTTGTCGCCACGGTCCTCGTCCTCCTTCTTTTCCTTCTTTTCGCCGCCGCCGAACATGGAGAAGACGGAGGAGGCGGTCACAGAGGCGGGAGCCTAGATAGAAGCCGCGGGTCAGCACAAAAACGATGGACGACATGTAGGCGATATCCCGCAACGGCCGAACCGACAAAAGACCGGCGATCGATCGGAAGGGGGGACAAAGCAAGCAGATGTTTATGGGAGTCGTACCTCAGTGGTGGTCTGCTCGACCTTGGGCTCGGTAGCGTCAGTGGAAGACATTTTGGAAATGTGAGGATCGGTCGGATGTCGAAAAGAAAGGATTCTGGTTCCGTGAATAAGCAAGGTTAGTCGTTTTTGCAAAAACCCAAAAAATATATGCTGTCAAGCAAACGTCCTGTCGTGGTGGCGTAGCGGGGTGACAGCGAGAAGAGTCAAGGGGGGCCGTTCCCCCTCCCTCCTCGCCAAAAAAACGCGGGCGCTTCGCAAAAAGACAAACTCACCGAAAGCTGGACAAAAAATGGGACCAAGTATCGCTGGCGATGGACTTTTGTCGCAAGAAGAAGAAGAAGAAAGAGGCAGGTTATTGTATGTTTCTGTACCTGGTTCTGCCTAGCGGGACGGAGGTTTGGGTTTAAAAAAAAAAACAAGGTGGTGGTTGGTGGTTTTCCGCGCGAGGGGCTTGTGGTTCTGCCTGGCTTGCTGCCCCTCCCTTCCATGCTGTTCTGAGTGGCGGGGCTGATTTTTTATTTTTTCTTCCACTCATTTCCCTGGACTCACTAACCTGCAGCGGCACCTGTTTCTTTTGGGACGGGCCATGTCGCGAGACGGCTGTTTATGGTGGGAGGGTACTTTTAGTCTATTTCTTATTGGTATTAATTCACGATGCTAGAGCTGATGCTATCAAGTATAGAGCCCCTTTTGTACATTGCGTGCATCTAAGGTATCTAGGTAAATAGACATGCTGGGTGGCGACATTTGTTGTGTATTTGCCGTCTTCACTGCCCCTCACAGCCTACCTGTATGCAAGTAATACTCGTCTTACTGGAGACAGCATTTTCACAGCTCAGGCAGCATACAGGCTGTACTAATGCGAGGTACCTTACAGACAGTGAATAAAATACACGGCACGTGGTTCTGAGCCATTTAACGGCCCAAAGAACGTGGGAAATCACGGGAGTGCTGCGCTGGGGGTGATCAAGTGACACACACTATCAAATATCCACGACTTATTAGGTACCTAGAGATGACCCCCAAATAGGTACTACTAGTATGTAGACATGTAAATAGACGCCTCTCACAATTCTGACATGTCTCAGAGCCAAAAGGTAAATGGTATTATAAGTCTCATTGTATATAAGATATCAACGACATACGCAGGCAAAGTAAAGTAGCTCGTGTATTTGCGTTTGCCATAGAATCAACTGCCATTTCCCTTTCGCATCACAATCACAACCTGAAAAGACAAACAAGTATGATAAGACAAGCCAAGTAAAAGGTCAAATCCATAAACTCCGTCCATCCATTCCAACCTGTTTCTGTTCATTCAAGTTCATTAATACATATGCCCAATCCTTGCGGATTTCCGTGGTTGCAAAATAGGAAAGTTGAGGGGGGAACAAAAAAAAAAAAGAAAAAAGATAAATCAACCACGTAAAAGCAGGGTGCCCTCATGGTGAGCCTTTGCACTGCTCGTGCGAATTCTCTCGGCATGCTGACCTGCCCCTCAGCTTGGACCACAGTCGTGAGGCCGGATCCGCCAGCTTCTCGTGGACAACCCTTTTGGCCTGCTTCGACTTCTTCGCGGCGGCTGCGATCTTGGCGGCGGCTGCATGTCTAGCTGCTGCTGCGCGCTTGATGGCTGCTGCATGTCTGGCTGCTGCTGCTTGTTTGGCCGCGGCGGCATGTTTGGCGGCTGCTGCGTGTTTGTCGGCTGCGTACGACTTGGCCTTGCGCAAGTACTCATCGTGCTCCTCCTCACTGCCAAAGGCCTGCAGCCACCAAAGTTTGGCCGACAATTGGGCGTCAAGGAGCTGCAGCTGAAGGTGGTTCTGCACATCTTCCACCGAAGGTAGATTCTCCGTAGCTTGCTGCGTAATCTCGTCAATCTTGCTGGTGATGCCTTGAGCGGCTTCATCAAACTGAATCTTGGCCGTTGACACGAGATTGTCCAGCTGCTGCCGCACATCTACAAAGTTGGCAAAGCTGGCGCCAAATGTCTTTGAGACCGTCTCGGTGACTGTTTGGCAAACGTTTTGGCATGCCGAGCCCAGTGACTGCTTGGCATTCTCAATACGCCGCTCTGCTTCCTGAGCAGCAGCTGGTACGAGGCCGGAGAGATCCTGGGCGAGGAGGGCAAGATGCTTTGTTCGCTCCAGAGCGCCCTCCATCAAGCCCTTGCCAAAGTGGACCTTAACAACTTTGTGAATCTTGGGGCGGCATTTAGCTTCGAGAATGACGCTGACGACGCCGTGGGCTTCCCTCTTGGCAAACTTTAGGCGGAGACCCTCATCCACCAGAGACATGGTGGTATCAACAGGGCCGTCTCCTCTCTTGGCAGTCACAGTCACGCACTCCTTGGCCAACCATGTCTTCTTGATGCTGTTGGGAATGTGAATCAAAATATCATTGTGTGCTTCGGCAGTGAATGACACAACCGGCGTCTTGGCGCCGAATATCCAGTCGTCTGACTGAGCCTCTCCAATGGGCATCAATGCCACGCCATTGGTCGATGAAGGGACGAGACTGCTACTGCTGGAAGTTGATGACAATGCCGTCGAAGAGGTGAGATAGGATGTAGTTGTGACAGTTGCCGTGATGGATGGCGGCATTTGAACGTCTGGCGGAGCCGACTTGGATGCTGGCGCGTAGAAAATGGGGAGCACCACGAGGATGACGAGGACAAACACGAAGCCAGGAAAGGCACCCCATGTTGTCTCGACAAAAAATTCCTTGATCTGAGATTCGAATTGCCAAAGCTCAGACATCTTCTTCTTGAAGGATTTTTTCTCAAAATCGGCAGGTCTCTCGATGACTCGGCTGGCCTCGGGAGTGGGAAACGATGGAGTTCCCAGACTCTGCTGCGTGTATTCGAGCGATGATTGAGAATATACTTCATCAAACATGGGGAAGGGCTCGGTCTTGTTGGAGTCGTCGTGTGTTATTTGAGACTCGGCCAGCACAATGTCCTCGTGAACCGAGTCTTCATCGTCTTCCTCGTCCTCAGTCTCGTCGCGGTCGGACGATGCGCCGGCCATGTCGGCGTCATCCACGGCAGACTCGGTCTCGTATGAATCGTCTGATTCCGCCAGGCTATGGACATCGTCTGGGCGAGGAATGTCGAGCGAGCCGACGGACTCGCTGATGGACCCGGAATAGTGGCCGTCCTGGGACTCTTCCGTGTCGGTGCTCGGGCCCGAGACGATCTCGTAGGTTGATTCGGACATGCTATTGTCGTCGGCCGGTGCAGCGAGATCCATCATGTTGGGGTTGCTGCTCGATATCCAATTTGCAAGCTGCGTGTTGCCCTGCGGCCTGGGAAATCGGAGGGTGGGCTCAGAGGCAGAGAGGCCTGCAGCTGCGGGAGTTTGTGTCGTCGCCGATGGCGAGAGTGTCGAGGGCGGTGCTGGCAGAGAGCTCGAAGGGTTGCTCGAAGGGTTGCTCAGGCGGGCAAGCAAAGTATCGCGACGGCGAAGCTGCGTTTCACGCTGTTCCATCACGAAGTGACTGTGGTCAGTTCGAGGACCATCTCACGCACCCAGGCGATGACTCGTCGACAGGCCCATGAATCAACAATCAACAGGCTGCGGGTAACTGGCAACTGGTAACTGGTTTGAGGGCGGCGAGGAGGACAGTGGCAGTGGTCTTGGGTGAATGGAGGGGAGAAGAAGGCGGGGAGGGGTTGAGCTTGGATGAATGGAGAGTGAGGTCACAGGCCAACAGCTTTGCAATGAAACAACTAACCACGGCGGAAGTGCAGAAGCAGAAGAAGAGCTCCCAAAAGGACGGGAGAGAAGTATAAAAAAAGGCAAGTCAAAAAAGAGTCTTGACCCCGTCGCAACACAAGAAAATCCACAGAATAGAATAGGCCCGAGTGGTGAAGCTGGATGTGGTAGCGCCGTGCTCCAGGGATAGCTTTGAGGCTGAGTTGATGCCTGCGGGAACCCGAGGCTGCCTGATGGCGCTGTGGATATAGCGGTTTAGCGGTTTAGCGGTTTAGCAGGCTCTCTAGCTGCTACGAATGGCGCTGGAGCGGGTGGGGTTGGCTGCTGAATTGAGTCCCGATGTCCTCTGGCAGCACCGCGCGTGACCTGGAACGACGAGGGAATTGCTCAGGGTTGTAAGATGGATGGAGTTGGGGGTGGAGATGGAGATGGAGATGGACTGGAGGATGGTGAGATGGAGCAAGGTAGGTCGTCTCACGTGAAGATTATGCAGTCTGTTCTACGGCTGTGATTTGATTCGACTCGACGGGCAGCAGAAGGACCAAAGGGATGGACAGGATGGAGAGAGAAGGGGAAGAGGGCGAATGAAGCAAGAAGAAAGAGGTAAGACGAGGCTTCATCTGCCTGACTGAGATGGATGGTGGGGTCGCCGCTTGAGTGGCGGACGAGGCTTTTCACGGTTTTTGATGGAATCAAGGCCAAGAGAATGATAGTTGGGCCGTTGTCCAGCTTGACTTTTGATTTAGCTTTCCAGTGAATGCGAACGGAACCTATGTATTTTGTGGAATCAACATGAGAGGCTACTGTACAGCTGCGACATGGAACATCATCAAACGCAAGCACCAGCCGATGCTCAATACTCAATATCAAACAGGCGGAGACGAGGCTAAAATAAGTCTGCATCCATCTGCAGCTTGTGGTGGTGAGGCTTGCAAGGAACCAAGTGTCATGCGTAAGGCAATGTAATCCAAGTGAGGGGTCACTGTGTGTATCCGACCCCTCTGAATTTACACGTTGGGCGTTGAAGGCTTGCAATCTATAAACTTAGCATCATCTCCATCGCCAATTTACATATTTTCTCTTGCCAAAATAGCATCTCCAGCAGAATCCAGCGCAGTCCAGAAGAAAAACAAGCAAACATACAAACCACCACAACTCCCCTAACTCGCCCTCACACATCCATCCCCCGTCCCTCCATCCTTCTCGACATCAAAGCATCATCGCTGTCCCGACATGTGCTCGCTTCATACGTCAGTGCCTCTCTTCCCACTGTGGACCCTCTCCATCTCCATCTTCCATTCCCGCCATCCCGAGCTTCCAGTCTCCGCCAGGCGGGGCCCTTTTTCGATGCGGGGAGCCCATAAAAAAAGGCATTTGATTTTTGGAATATTGGCTACATGATGATGGCTGTTTCTTGTACTCTCGTGGCCAGATTTCGCTTCTTCTCAGATGGTTGGAACTTGCGACATTTTGCATCAAGTACTCCGTACATGGAAAGTATATAGACGAGCCACTTCAAGCCCAACCAGCCCAACCAGCCCAACGAAATTCTGTTGCAGAACCACACGGCCTCCGAATAAGCCCATTCTCATAGCATCGAAGCTTGCTAGGCCTCATATGCATCAATTAGATCAATCGAGTTGCGCCACGGCCCAGGCGTCTTTGTTACGCTTACGTACTACCTCTCACGCATGCAGCAACAGGTACACAGAATCACCACATTAGAACAGACAGCAGTACAGTAGCTGGCATAATTCAAGATAAGGTATGCAATTGTGATTTCATATTTGCCAATGTCGCTTCGGCATTTGGCCAGCCTTATCTACCAAGTGCCCACCGTCAAAATCTGTCATAACCATCGCCCCCCATGCATAGCCCGTCATATCCTGGCATGTGAAAAAGCGAACAAAAAAAAAAGGCAAAGAGAAAAACGAGAAGGCGTTCCCACATTCCGACATTATACGCGTGCCGCTCCCCGTCTAAAGTTTTTATTTCCCATCCCCCGGTCTCCGCAAACTCCGTGTTGGCCGAAGCAAAAAGAAAAAACAGAACAAAAACAAAGCAAAAATGGCGGAAATAGATAGGACCAGTTCCGAAGCAGGGATCTGGTCCGCTGTTGGGGGACGGCAGCCATCACAACCCGCCAAGGGGTAAAGTCTATCCCAAGTCCATGATCCCAGTAGCCAAGAAGAAGAAATTCGAAGAAGTGGGGTATCTTCACAAAAATGTTGTGGCACGGAAGATCGTGCCGGCAGCCGGGGGTCAGTCAGGAGGCTGAGACAAGCAGACGGCGATTTTCCAAGGCATGATGCTATCCGAGTAGGCTGCCGTCGGTTCTAACCGAAGCGAGCCGCTGATTAATATAATGGCGTACAAAATGAAGAGATGAAAAAGAAGGCAAGCGAGATGCAGAGTGGTTTATAGTATGCAAATTATTATGCAGATTCAGCTTCACAGCACGCCGTGCTTCTTGAGGACCTTTTCCAGAGACTCGGCGCCAAAGTGCTCGTCATCTGGCATCATCTCAATAATGCCAGTGAGGTTAGCAAACAGGTCTCCCTGGTTTCGATAGGCCAAAAGAGCAGGCACCGCGGCATTGTCGAATTCAATATCCTCATAGTGGACCTTGACGAAATGAACTGATGGGTTGGACTTGACCAGTGGCAGCAGCACTGATTCGATTGCTGACGAGACCTCGCTCTGGACAACCAATGTTAGAGTACTGTCATGTCAAGATGGGTACAACGGGAGCTCTTTACCTCGTGATCGTAGACAAAGACAACAACGGTCGTCTCTCTGTTCACCTTTTCGATGGCATCCAGGTACCCCAAGGCATCTACCTCATCCATGCGGCCATAGATCCGCGTGCTGGGGCTTGTCCTTCTGGTGCGAATAGACTGGCCGGCTTCCTTTTCGAGCTCCTGTCTCCGGGCCTCTCTCCACTGGCTCAAAAACAGCTCTTCCTCGTCGTCATCACCACCGCTGAAGATGGCCTCTTCGCTCTCGCTCTCGCTTTGTTTGTCGCTTGAGCGGGGGGCACCAAAGACGCTCTTGCGAACGGACATGGCTCGGTTTCTCCATTTCGTCTTGCGGGCAGATTCATAGCTTCTGGCATCGGCAATGACGCCTTTGACACCGGTGGAACGGCCGCTGTCAAATGACGCGGGGGGGAGCTTAAGCTCGGCAGCGGCAGTAGGCATTCTCATGGCTTCCTCGATTCTGGCGTTGCGATATTGTTCTTCCTCAGAGAGGTCAGATCCGTGGTGGGAGTCGGCGTCGTCACGGTCTTCAGGGTGAAGGGTTTCACGATGGGTATTGTTGGCGACAAGTCTGTCGAATTCTTCTTGTGCTTCAGTGGTCATATTGGGCAAAAGGCTCGGGCACGAGCGGGCGACTGATGGTGGTTATATAGATGGGTGGTTGATGAAGTGTACGAGCAACTGTAAGCTCGAACCAGCGGGCAGAGAAGAAACGAACTTGGCCAGGCCTGTCAAGTGAGCCGACGACGTGTGCGGGAGGGGCGTGTGGGAACTGTCGACTGGCTTTCGGGCAGCGCGTTTCTCGAAGAAGCGGAGCAAAGCAGCAAGGGGGTGAGACAGCAGAGTCTTTTTCTTCAATGTGATTAGCTCAAGAAAGACGCTTGGATCAAGCAGCGAAGAGGCGCGAAAAGATGGGAAGAAATAGAAACGTCGGCGAGAGCGAAGAGAGAGTCGAGTGGACGGCAGACGGGGCCCCTGACACGACGCACGCCCCCCTTTTTTGATGCGACAAGCGGTTTCAGCAGGCAGATCGAAGCATGCGAGCTACCAGGGGGGGGATCCAGTGGGCAGGGCTCAGCACGAGATCAAGCAGTCGCAGTGCCGAGTCTGGCGGGTTTCAAAGCGAGGAGAAGAGAGGACCGGGTTCGTGATTGGCGAAGTCGGAGTTGTGGTGGATAGAATGTGCATATGCTGTGTACAAAGTGTGGGCAGAGGTGGAAGAAGTGGAAGAAGTGGAAGAAGTGGCGCGCGGGGGCTGTGGCGCTGGTGTATTTTGGTGGCTTGATGCTGTGATTGAGCCCTACAACACCAAAAGCTCAGGCGTCCGTTACAGCAACACAATACAGCAACATCCAGGCATTCCCACACATTGGAAGTCAGAATCAGAACGCAATTGAAGCTACATGGATGCTCTTCTCTACTGATCAGCTGAACCAATACCAAGTACAATACCAAGCACAATACAGCACTCAGCTCCGGAGCTCATCCTCAGCTCGACTCCGTCTAGACTCTCTACGGAGTACTCCGTCTTCATGGAAGCATTGATCCTCGACAAGGCTGAAGAGTGATCAAACGCCGACATTGTGACGACAGGGCCCCCCCTTGCCCTCTCTTGCTATCACTCGGCCAATGCGGTCATGCCAGAAAGCTGAATGACGCCCATGATTCCCACTCTCGTCCTGCACCCCGGAGTTGCCAGACTCTCTTTTTTGCCCAAAGCCCGGGGTTGGACATGTGGGCTCCTCGTCGAACCACCGGCGCTAAGAAAACGGACGACTGACGGCTGAGCCTCGCATTGAGGCAGTCGATTTCGTCTCTCTGAGCTCTGCTGTTATTAATGCCACGACAAGAACCGGATCTGCGACTAGCCCATGCCCAAATGCACAAGCAAGCATTACACAGACGGAGATGACATTTTCTCCGCTGATTTATGCGTCTTTTAGGAAGTCGACACATGGGCCTGGCTGACTGGATAGAAAATGTTTGGAATGTTTGGAAGGATTTCTGGACCCTCCCCGCATGCCACGTCTTGCATGGCAGGTTAATTTCGAGTGGTGTGTGCTATTCCTGGGCGGGCAAGGATGTCGAGAATATTCGTGATTGGGCGGCTGAGTCTGCTCGCGACAGCCTTTCATGCGCATGACGACCAGCTCGGGAACAGGTACGAATTCGACAGCCGTGGTCGGCTAGCAAAAACCCTGGGGGGGGCTTCGGAGAGGCGGTATGTTTCAACAGCTTGACCAGCCCTATCTCCATCTTGGAAGACGGTGAGAGTCTGGGATGGCGGTTTGGCTGACGTGGTCCGTTGCGAGCAGCAGCTTACTGCGTCTGTACCTGCGCATGGGATGACGGCGTTGGTTCCGAAATGGTAAGCTGATGACCAACAGCAGAGTTGCAATATACGAGTACTACCGCGATGCCCTCTGCTCTGACTTGCATGATGCCGTACTCGTATGTCTTGACAGCAAACAAGCGCCGCCATTGAACTTGCTACGAGATGCTTGTACTCGCGGCTTCAAGCCGGTTTCAACATTTCATCTCATCTTTGATTCTCACCGCCACCTCCGGTTCGTCCCACTGCCGAAACCATTCACATTAGCAGTTGGTACTACATGGTCTTCGGCACTTCCAGCCAAGAGGCAGACCAAGGACAATGCCAGGGATCACGACGTCTTACGCTTAATCCATGCGCACACGGCTAGTCTCCATCAGGCAAGGCCAACTCATGCCTGTCGTTTCAGAATCCGTTTCACCCTTCCTGTGCAGATCAGAGGCCTGTTTAATTAATCTCAGCCCCTGGTCATCTTGGGCGCGTATCTTGTGGGCGGTGCTGCCAGTATTTCCGGGGTTCTCATTGGTCAATTTGAGGGTAACGACTTGGCCCTCGTCGTGTTCATCTTTTCTATTTTGTGATTTTATTTTGTATTTCTTGGGACCAAGAAAAAGTGAATACAGCAAGGCAAATCCAGTGTGGCGCAGCCAACGCCTATCCGAAGAAATGATGCCATCTAATCTTTTACGGTTGGGGGCCAACGAATATCGACTGTTATTTGCATCGGACTAATGGAGATGCTATGCTGAAAGAGTCCGGATACGAGAGGCTCTTTGGCTGCGCGATGTAACTATTATTTCGTTGGGGGCGACAGCATTGACTCAGCTTGATGAGCTCAGGTATTTGACTGCTGCATCAGCCTGATTCTGCGTTGTCGGATTTCTTCTGTGCAAGGCTGTTGCCACTTACCTGCTACCATGCTGTGACCTGCAACGTCGGATCCAGATTGAAGTCAGTCATATGGCGCTCGGTATTGAAGGCCGAGACTCTTCAGCTCGGCTAGAGATTTGAGGCAGATATCGTGTGACCTTGGGCCTAGTACTGTTTGTGCGTTGATGTTGTGAGTTGTGTGGTTTCATATGCACTTCTTCTGCCTCGCTTGCAGCGCTTCTGTCTTTAAAGTGCTCATCGTCAATACAAGATGCATCAAATTGACTTAATGGGGAAGCTTCCTGGTAAGGCATCCCGGAAACATCACAAAGCTGAGAGGAATGAAATATCTGTATTCTTTGTTGCCCGGTATCATCTAGAACCCAGCTAGCAAAGGTAAGCAGTGATATGGCTACCTAGTATTTCTATGCCTCGACATGGCACATCTATATTACGGCATCTCAGTTTTGAAAGATAATTTGCCCAAACTCTACACTCATGCCTCGTCTCATACGATACCGCTTTCATCGGGTTCATACACGACACTACACCGAAACAGTCCTGGAGCAGTCCTAACCCAACTTCATATCATCTCGATTTAGCGGTGAGCTCATGCTATATGATACAAAGGCCTCTTTTTCATCTCAACTAGAGTTTCGTCATCCTGGTTTCTCTATATTCGTCTAATGTCCATGTTTGATCACCGCGCTCGTTATACGGTACACCATGTTCTAGACCATGATATCCCTCCATATCTATATTCTTGTTACAAACCTTACAATCTCTACTCATAAGCTTACTTATATAGTACGTCAATATGTAGAACAATGTTTTTTTTGTTTTTTTCTATCAGTGCTATTGTCCTTAATTTCAGCATACTGTATGTTTTCCCGACACTTTCGTCCGTAGAATGGATCAAACATCCAAAACCCACACGGGCCATCAACGATCTCCGTCACTCACGGCCCGTTTGAGTTTTGTCACAAAAAAAAAAAAAAAAAAAAAAAATTAGGTAGCCATATTTAGAATACTATTCGGGTTTTCTAGAATTTTCTTGGATTCGATGTCGGTGCGTAGATGGTCTTGATGGAGACTCTCATCTGCTAAATGATAACAACTGCTCTCATCAGATATCGATGATGCCCTATGTTTTACTTTATGTTACAAATTCGATCCGATGAAATGACGATGGAACGAGTGTCACCTATTCGAGCTACACTTTCGTAGTATAACCTAAGAAGAAATATAATATTTGCAGTTGCAAAACTAACAAGGCAAATAGCCACTCTCACAGCATTCGCAATACGTGCAATGCGTTTATATGTTCATCAACAACAGGATTTCTTCTATTGCAGGTACACACACAGATAAGCAAGAAGCAAGCCATTTATTTAAACATCAACTTCATCGTAAAGCAAACACATCTCAATTTTCTTCTACCCTTTGCATTCTTAATCCCCATTGTCCCCCGAGAAAGTTGGGCTTCACATCCCGCTCAATGAACAAACTCAAAATTCCACTTCACCATTCCCACAACCCAACATCCAACAAATCCAAGCCTTCAAATCAAACGTCAATCTCTTAAACAACCCCTCACCAAAAAAATCCCTATCATCCCAAGACCATTTCACCACTCCATCACAAGATACTATATTCTCCCAGCTCATTCATCCCACCATCTCATATCCAACATCTCACCCAAGCAACCCAAATTATCAAGTCATCAAAAGTCCATCACTTCAGAACCAAGCCAAGGCAATATATTCAACTGCTTTTATTCATCTTTCTTTAACCCAAAAGATTCCTCATCCAGCACACATTACAATAATCGATCTCATTCAGTAATAAGGGAAAAAAAAAACAGATTAACAAACAACATAGTGACAAAAAATCCACGCACTTTGAGCCGAACAAATGCAATAAACAAAAACAGAGAAAAAGCAAATAAAAAAATCACGAATCCTCCCCATTGGTATCGGGCGCCTCTCCCCCCTCCAACTGCTCATCCTCATTCCAAACCCATCAACGCAACATTTCCTCCCTTGGCTCCCTCGTTTGCTTCCCGCATCCTTCGCACGTGGTCATTATATATCCCGGCAGAAGAAAGAAAAGAAGAAGAATAAAAAGAAAATATGTGACCCGGTCTTGTTGAATCATCGTACTGTATTATCTGGAAGCTTGATCTGCTCCTTGTTATAAGTCGCCAACACCCCTACCATTCCATACCACGTCACCATCCCTTCTCCCCCATCACACTTAAATCTTCCAAAAAGAAGCCTCTCCACCCCTCTCCCCTTACTCTCCAGAATTTTTTTTTTCTCGTAGCTCTGTTATATGCGCGCCCTTCTAAAAACACTTAAGCTCGCTCGATCGGCATATTTAAAGAAAAAAAATCCGCTGAGGGAGCGGGAACGCGTACAGAGGCAACTGAAGACATAGAAAACCATCAAGTAATACACCCAGCCCGTGGCCAACAATCCAGAGCTTATCAGAAAACGCAGAAACTATTGTGCAAAGAATTTTGGGGATCAGAGGCGGGAGAAAAAAAAAGATAAAAAGGAAAAAAAAAATGAGAGAGGGAAAAGGGGAAACAAAAGGTATCAAGTCGGCCGGTTTCCTTTTCCGACTGTCGCCCAAAGAATCGGGGTTGAGATGCCCCTACACGGGGCTCATGCATCGGCCAAAAAATAAATAAATAAAAAGAGTTATGGTGTAAGTAGGGCACGTTTCGTCACTTCGTCCTGCGTACGCCAGTATTCGCAAGCCAGATATGCGTAGTCGGGTGTCGAAATTGGCGGGTAATATAATCGTTTGAATGCGGATGGTGAAGAAAAGTCACGGAGTAGACTTGAATCGAAATATGCGAGAAAAGTCCATCTGTATCACAGACGCAGGCATTTTAATAGGCCCAAACCTTGAGCTGCGGAGGAGGTTAGTCGTGTCGAGTTTGAAAAAGGGCTCCAATCTTGTCCAACTTACCAGAGAATCCCATGAACCTGTGCACAAGCTGATTCCGTCGTTGCTGACACCCAAGCAGCTCACACGGTTCTCGTGGCCTACCAGAGAGCCAACCTTTTCACCTCGTGTAATGTCCCAGACCTGGTTTGCACGAATCAGCATCAGACGTCATCTGAGAGGGAAAAAAATTAAAGTTTTCATGAGACGCGGACTTACCTTGCACTCAAAGTCGTCATATCCGGCAAAGAGCAGACGTCCAGACACGGAGGTGGCAACGGATGTGATGCCGCAGAGAATGGATTCAGACTAAATCAACATGTTAGCATTTCAACTGTCAGCATTTCCAAGGCTCAGGCTCTACGCACTCCATAAAGGTTGAGTTCGCGATCGGCACGAATGTCAAACAGCCGGCAGGTGGCATCGTCGGATCCCGTGACGAAAGAGTGGCCGTCGGGGAAGAACTGGATGGCGTTGATGTCAGACTCGTGGCCGGCAAAGGTCTGCACCGCCTTTCCGGCACGGATATCCCAGAGCTTGGCGAACGCGTCGCAGGCACCAGAGATGAAGGTGTTCTGGTTGGTGGGGTTCAAGCTGATGCTCATGACATCGCCAAGGTGGTCGGCGAACTCGGTGACCTTCTGGCCCGTCTCAATGTCCCATTTCATGCAGGTCATGTCACCGGACGAGGTGAGGATGCTTCGATCGTTGATGAATCGGCAGCAAGACAAGTAACCGGCGTGGCCGGACAGTTCCCTGGCCACTCGCGTGGGGCCATCGCGCTGCTGGTTCAGATTGTAGATGGAGCAGATGTTGTCGAGACCACCGCAGGCGACAAAGTTGCCGCTGGGGGCGTAGGCGCAGGTCATGACCCATGATGATCGGAGGGGGATGGCGTGGACTTTGTTGGTGGTGTAGGCGTCCCAGATGATGAGCTTTCCGTCCTGCGAGGCTGAAACGAGGTGTCGGCGGTCTGTAGACCAGTGCATGGCGTAGATCTTGGCCAGATGGCCCTTCAACGTCCGCTTCGCCCGCATGAGCTGGTTCTTGGGGATGGGCTCGTGAGCCTGCTGAGCGACAGCCCGGACTGGAGGGGGGGAAAGCATCGGGTTAGCATCGCGAAAAGAGAATAAAAATAAAAAGATTCAACCCCGATTGAGCAGCTCAGAGCGGCGCAGAGAGAGACTCAGAGAGAAACAACGTACGTGTGGTGTCGGCCAGCTCATCCTTCTTCCGCTTGATCCTGTCCTTGAGCGTCTCGGCCTCGCGACGCGCTTGCTGGATGCGCGCCTGCATCGCCTCGGGCGACACATCGTTGGGCTGCGAATTCATGGCGGATCGACGGTGACGGCGACGGGTGACGACAATCGAGAAAACTGCGGGCGAGGGAGTTGTTGCGGGTTTGGCGGCGTCGTCGTCGGGAGGGAATCGAATTGACGACGGTTGGGATTGTGGAGAGCGGAGGGAGAGGAGAAGGAGAGAATGCGCTGGCTCTGGTTGGGTTGGGGGGAAAGGGAAGAACTGAAGTGAGCTACAGGTACAGCAACGTTAGCTCCTATCCCAGGGGGGTTGGTGCGCTCTAGCCTGGCTGGGGTGCCTGGGGCGGGTTTTTGGGAAATTGACGGTGGGCATGCGAGGCCCTGAGCGGCAGCTTACACTGAACTGATCGGGTGGAGCCCCTCGCTGGACGAGCGCTGGGCGAGCGCTGGCACCGCGCTTTGCAGGGCCGGGTCGATGTGCTAAGCCTGGAGCGCTAGGAGCTGAAGATTTGGGGGAGATTTGAGCCTAGAATTGAGACGCCCGACCAGAACAACTTTGTGAGTTGGGCGTCATTTTTAGCCACATTACGTCCAAGCAGGCCCAAGTACTCGTACCAACAATTTGTACTGTACTGTACCGTCTACCTTAGTACACCTCCCGACGGAAGTTGCAGCAAAAGCATTCGCTCATTGTACATATCCGTCACAGATCAGAAAAATGGCACTACCAAATGATATGGCCTTGCGTGCATCCGCTCCTCTTGCTAATGGCCGCACTTGTGCTGTAAGGGGAAAGGCAGGTCTGAAATAGCGGCCACCACAGGCTGTCCGGGAGGTACTTGTACTTTGTCCCCGCCTCTGGCGACGCAGCCCGTCCAAGTACCGGAGCGACACAACGCAACGCAGAGCACCTCGTCGCAAAGCAACGCAGCTCACAAGTCTTGCTTCAAATTGACTGGATCAGCCCAGTCACTCAATCCCATCCCGTCGCGCCGTGTGACTTTTTGCGTCCGGGCGTTTCCATTTCTATTTCTAAGCGCGTCATGGCCCGCGGTTCTGGTATCCGGGAAATGGCCCAGGGTCGATGCCAAAACAGAGTTGCGGGCGGCCTCGTTTTTTTTTTCTGCGGCTTCGAAAATACTGTGCCAAGGTAGTCCTGCCTGAAGGCCTGTCTTGTCGGTTGCATCCGCGGTTGGTCTTGTACTCGTACAGTGCTCCGTATCTATCATGGTATTGATCAATCACGACGATCAGTCACAATGACAGACAAACGGCAACGACCCGGCGACGCTGCTAATGCTCCTGTCCTGTACCGTGACGCGCACAAGCTGCCGAGCTGCAGGATGCCAGCGCTAGGTGCAGATGAATCCAACTTTGCCAACCAGAGAGTCACCATCTGACCACGGCACAGTGACGGCCGAGTGCAAAATTCCACTGTGTCGCCTAGGCGAGGCCCTTCCCGAGATGCAGATTCTCCGTGTCTCTTGGCTGCTTGCTCGTAATCAATGCCTGGTGATTTATTATCAGGGGCAAGGAGGCCTGGTGGAGTCGCGTCTCCCAAAGAACATGTGCAGGCTTCCATGGCCTCTTCGTTTCTGGACTCGAGAGGGACGACCAGGGTGCGCCTGGAAATGAAGTGGCTCGCTACCGTACTTGTACACAAAGGCCGTTTGGCCTGACGAGGCTTCCATCGTACATTCTGAGATGCAGCTTTCCGCGGCCAACCAGAGCAGTAGCCAATCCATCTGTCAGCGAACCGGCCAACGGGTTTCTCGTCTCTCGATAACGCATCGCGGTTCCTGGAGACCCGTTGACGCCACTGGCCGTGACCCTGCAGGTCGACCCCTGAGCAGATTAGCCTAGACAAGGCGACGATACGGGGGATTGCGAGTAATATTGCTGGCGGAAGCATGCTCTTATGCTGCAATATTCGTACAAGTGAAGCCGACGGGAAATGCATCAATCCTTTATGCACGCAGCAGCTCCCACAAGGTGCACTGGGCAGAGCAGCACAGGACCCAGCCGCGATGCCTCATCCTCCTCCTCACCCTCACTCTCCCACTACCACCGCCCTCCTCACCTTTGCTCTTCTCCTCCTCATCATCATCATCCTCACCTAATCCAAACCCCAAAATCCCAAAATCCTACCTATACTAGCCCGGAACTGGCCAAGGACGCAATTTACGGCGACCCGCTTCCCTGCCTCCGGAGCCCACCTTCTTCTCGCAGCTCTGGCCCGGCCTAGTACCAAGACGTTTTGCTCTGCACTAGCCGATCCGCAACTCATCCTGGACCCCGGCCTGGGGTGAAATCATTCGACCTTGGCTTGGGTGGGATTGGGAGGGCCTGCGAGCCATTAATCGGGGAGGCGAAAAGCTGAAGTTGTTCGCCAGGCGAGGGAAGAAGTGCATAGAAAGAGAAGAGCCCGCCTTTTTTTCCATCTCGTACAAGCATTGTGTAACAGTTTGTACTGTATGCACCCAGTTTTGCTACTCACAAGATTACAACAAGCAGAAAACATGATGAGAAAAGCCAAGAATCCCCCCTCGTTGCATGTTAAACTCGGAGCTTATGGGCAAAAAGACGCAAAAGCACCGAAATGCACAACGCGCAAGGCCCTTTTTCTTGGCCCTTGTCCCGAATTGCCGTGCGGATACTCTAATTTCAATGCTTCCCTAAAGCGGCCGCACTGTGTTCCAAGACGGACGGGACGCACCTTTTTTCTTCTTCCTTTTTTCTTGTTGCGTGTCTGGGCGTTTTTGGCTCATCGCGGGAGGGATGCCCAGTTTGAGGTTCGCTCCTTGTACGTGCGTTTTCTCTTATGAATACAGTATGTGTGTTTCTCGGGTCTGTGTAGAAAGATGGACAGCTCTCGGTCGATTTGTCTACATCCATACTCGTACCGTATATCGTATCTTGGTCCTCTATACCCCGTATTGTTTGATTCAATGCTGCGAGACATCGCCCGTACCGTGTTCTTCACGCTTCCCATGCCTCTCCGTCCATGAACCCTCCAGCTAATTAATCACTGCACCTCCACGCCCTCTCGGTATTGTTTCCTCTCCCCCCTTCGCGTCCTATCCCAAATCCAGCAGTCCGCATCTACGAATCTCGATGGCCCTCACACTACTCAACCACCCATCTCACCATCCCTACAAGTACATACATAGCCCTCATTGCTGTATCTGTAATACGTGTACTCCGTACTTTGCACATACCTGCCTGTAAAACTACACCGTATACATAGGTACAATGTACGCCGTGATTACAGCTCCATCCGCGATGCCACACTTTTTCGCCCCCCCGTATAAACGGCGAGTCGCAGTGCAGTAGTGCCGCATTCGAGCCGTACAAGCGCCGCGGCTGGGTGCGGTGGCATCCCGTGTGTGTGTGTTTCTTTCGTACCTGCGTGTCTGTGCTGATTCTTCGCTTTTCAATCACGGACATGGGACGATGCTCTTCTCCCTCGTTTCCGTTACAGGGATATACACAGGTTACTGTTAGTGGCGGCTGTTAATTGTCACTTGAGGTAATTAATATGACCCCTTGTAAATACCTGTTCGCGTGTTGTAATGTATATGTAGTATCTACTTGTACTGAGGTAGAAGTAACAGGTCCCTCCAATGCTTTTAATGTGGTGACATCTCCTGAGACGGTTCAAAAGTGAATTCATTCTCTAAAGCGACCAAACATGTCCATTCAGCAAGGCAGCTCTGTATTTCAGACGGCCTAAATTCGAGGATACTATATCATTGGAGCCGTCATTGTGCCCAAATTCCATATCCAGCGCTCTACTTCATCCGGCTCTTCTTGGTGGTATACTATTAACCTGATCACGGAGGACCTGGCTTTTTCTCTCTTTATGCTACGTTTAAACCCGTGTCTACATCATCTCCTCCTTCCAAATCATTAATGTGTCTTTGCCCATTCTTTGAACCAGTCTAGTGCCTCGGGGTTCGCAACACTGGCGTTAGTCTTGATGCTCATACCAGAAAGAATCTGCTTTACGGCAACTTCGATTCTACAATGCACGTTAGACAATGAACCATGAATGTTCTCAAGTTGCGAGACTTACTTTTTGCCGTTGCCCGTCTTGGGGATGCCGCCTCCGCATTCTTCCACCACTCCTGGGACGTGACGAGGGCTGAGCTCGCTCTTAATCTTCTGCTTGATCCTGTTTCTTAGGTCGTCGTTGAATTGCTGCCCGGCTGTCGGGACAACAAACAGGCAAACCGTCTCGTCCGTGTCCGTTGCGCGTCGGCGTCCTACGCAGACAGCGTCCTCAACCTCGGATGCAAAGAATCGGATCAAAATGTTATAAATCTCGGCTGAACCGAATCTCACGCCAGCCGGCTTCAAGACGCCATCGGATCTGCCCAGCATGAGAAGACCGCCCGTCTTGGGGTCGGGAATCTTAACAAAGTCGCCATGGTGCCACACAGCACCCTTGACGCCACACACGTCCTCGAAGCGCTCAAAGTAGGCAGCCTTGTATTTGTCGTCACCCTTGGCACCGAAGAAAGTCAGGGGCTGGCAGGGGAAAGGCTTGACGCAAACCAAGTCGCCAGGCTCTCCTGTGGGAATGTCCTCGCCAGTGACGGAATCAACAGCCTTGATGGCCATTCCGAGGCCGGCACACTGAATTTCGCCGACGCGGACGGGGAGGAGAGGGCAAGGGGCGCCGAATAGAGAGATGATGTCGGTGCCGCCCGTGATGGAGGCAAGATTAATATTCTTGGGGAAGGCTTCGTAAACGAAAGAAAAGGTGGATGGCGGCAGTGGTGACGCTGTGGAGTAAATGGCTTCGAGATGGGATAAATCAATGCTGGAATCGCGAACGGGATAAACGTTATTGGCCTCCAATGCCGTGAGGTAGGCTGCAGAGGTGCCAAAATGGGTCACCTTGAGGTCTGACAAGACGCGGGGAATGGACATGTATGAGTTAGGTCGGAAGGGTGATCCCGAGTACAGAATCAGCTTGGCTCCGACAGCGAGCGCTCCAACGCTCCAGTGCCACATCATCCAGGAAGTAGTTGTGTAGTAGAGCATGCTTGACGAAGAGGTTAGAGAGCTGTGAAGCATGTGTTCCTTCTTGTGCTGGATAAGTGTTCCCAGGGCAGTGTGGACAATTGCCTTGGGCAGACCAGTGGTACCACTGGAGTAGAGGATGTAGAGTGGATGTGATGGCGGCAGCTGTTCAAATGTGAGAGCATCCGATGACGCGCTGGAGAGAAAGCTTTGGTATTCAACAGCCGCGACACCGTGAGCCTCAATGTCCTTAATGCCGAGATCGCCCTTGATGTTGTTGATGACAATGACCTTGTGCAGCCCCAACTTGCTGAGCTCGGCGACAATGTCTGTTGTCTTGGAAGTGCTCGACCACTCCTTGCCGTTGTACACTGTTCCGTTGTCTGCAAACAGAAAGCGAGGTCCAATCTGACTCAATCGGTCCAACACGGCAGAGACGCCGCTGTCAGGGCTGATGCCCGTCCATATCGCCCCGAGAGAGGCGGCCGCCAGCATCGCAACCAGCGCCTCCACGTGGTTGGATACATAACCAGCAACGATGTCGTGGGGCTTCAGACCTTCGGCACGCAAGGCATTGGCGCATTGGCGGACAGACTCGCGCAGCTCGGCCCAGGTGGTTGAGCGCAAGTCGCCAGGGAGTTCGGTGGTGGTGATGACGGCCGTAGAGGAAGGGTCGAGAGGCTTGGCCGTGGGGGGGAAGAGGAGGTTTTCGGCGAAGTTGAGGCGGGCGTCGGAGAAGAAGTCGGGACGAGGGAACATGGGCGCATCAGGCGGCAGGACCTGGTCTGGTCAGCTACTGTACTCGAGCTCTTTCATCCAACGTCGCTCAAGATGGAAACAAACCTGTGAGTATGGCTGGGACGAAACAATGCCCACAAACTGCCACACCTCGTCCCAGAACTGAGCCACGTTGTCGACGGACCATTTGTACAGGTCTGGGTATCCGGTCAGGTGCAGATTGTGCTTCTGGTTGACCGTCTGGAGAAACTGCCACATGGGCGTCGAGGCGGGATCTGCGTGTCTCCAGAGCTCCTGTGCCTTTGCTGTGACGCCTGCGAAGGCATTGTCGCGGTCGATGGACTCCCCCATGGCGTCTCTGTCGTTTGTCTTGGGTAATCGAGGTGGTTATCCGCGTTGCCAAGGGTCAGGAAGAGAATCGAGCAAAAGAAGCAAACAGACGAAGCCAACTGAGGGTTTGTTTATCTTCCCGTCTACTTTCCCCAAGAATCATCAAATAGTCTTTCAGGGACCGAAAAACGGTTGGGGATCTTTAGTCCAACTGCCGAATCGGCTGCGTTTGCGGTCCCCCTCCATCATGGCCCGTTGCAACCCGCGGGCACCCTCGGTTCTATTTTGGAATGGTTGAGAGGCGATTGAGAAGCCGAGATTCTGTGGCTAGAGATGTGGCTGAAGCTGTGGCTGAATAGCGAGATGACTAAGGGTGGAAGCGTGGCTGGTGCAGGGCTGAGTTTAGTTTAGGTTAGGGGGGAAGATAACAGAGTCTGAGATAGAACGAGAAGATAAGTGGCCTTGTTAGCATTTGCACTACGGAGTACGGAGTACGGAGTAGACTAGGAGTTAATCTAGCTGCAGATGCCGAGGCGAAAATACAGGTTCGAAGATTTTTTCTCTTTTCAATGCATATTTTTCTTTTTCCCGCTTCCTTGGTTTCGGCAGTATTCCGGAAAGGGCAAATTGTCCAGGCATGGGCTGACTCTTGGTGGTTTGTGATGCCCAGCTCCATCACCTCGGGCACAAAGTAGACTACAGACCAGGATGACCTGATCTGCCAAAGTCAAAGGCCCATAAGGTTAACACGGCAGTGACAAGTCAATTACACGTAAAGCAAAATACACGTACGGAGGACCAAGTCCGTGTGTCGCTCGAGGTCGCACTGCATGCTTTGTTGGCGCAAGCCAGACGAGACCCGGCGTCGTCCCTTGCACTACGAGTCAGAGCTGGAGTTGAGCTTCGAAAGGAATCCAAAGCGACAATCACTGCCCCATGCGCGAATAGTTAGTTGTCAAGATGCTAAAATACTGGTCTAATGCACAAAGTATGTACGAGCACTCCGTACTACACGAGCCGTTGGACTCGGCTTCTTCGGAGAGTTTCTGGCTAGCATCACGAAACTCGGCTTCAGTGCTCCAACTCTCAGCTTGCAGCTACCAGCTCTTGCTTGGGGTCAGCGCCCCCTTTTTGGGCTGCTCCCACGGGCGAGAGAAATAGCGGCGAACTGTCATCGCGCGGCTGCCCCCTTGCAGATCGTGAGGTTATACTGCTACCTTTGCTGGGCTGCGACATCGAGCCACTCATCTCTTTACTTGTTGCTTCCTCTCAGACCGGCTACACAGAGCATCTCGGGTGGCAATACAATGCAGTAGTCTATGGTAAGACGGCACGACGGCTCGGCCAGGGCAACCAACCGGCTTGTGAAGCAAGGCAAGGATTGCAGCGCTCGTCGCTTGGAGGATATTGGCTCGAATGACCTCATCAGCTGCAAAAGCACATCGGCCAAAATTCGCATTGTCTACCAGCTACTACCAGCTAGTACTCGTCGCAGTACCAGTAAGCCCGGGCGATCCGAAGTACTTCAAGTAGTGCTTGTACCTGTAGGGCCATCCACACCCTCGGCAGAGAGAGTTGCAAAGCCCAAATTAAGTGACCCATGGCAAGCTAGACGCCCACTTTGGCCCTTGTCGAGACGGATCGCTTGGGGCTCCTGAATTCCGGCTTGGCTGGGCTTCGACCGTCCAGACCCTCTTGGTTTGGCCGCACGCGCCGCAGTTTGTGCCCAGCAGAAGAGATCAATGCAAGGGAAATAGAGTGAACAAGAAGAGAGAGAGACGACCTGTTCTGTTCAAGAGGGAAATAAAATAAAGGCGCTCCAACGGGCTGTGTCTGCTGCTGCGGCCTGTCTCTGTCTGTTTCCCCTCCCTTGCCCGTGTGGCTCCGTCGTGGCCAGGCTCGATTCTATTGGCCTTGTGGGTTCGTCAAAGACCCCCTTTCGCCAATTCATCTTACCCAGCCGAAACTGCCCCCCAAGCCAAACTTGTCTTCTTCAACCTGCTTTGCTTTTGCCGGCCCTGCGATCGTGGTCATTTCGTCTGCCGCGTGGTGTCCTTGTGCTGAATCTCCACTGAGCTGGGATATTGCCTTGGGACAGCGATTTTGATTTTTTTTTTTGTTGAGCCACAGGGCTGTTGCCGCAAATCAGTCCACTTACCGACCCGGGTCGCGGGCCTGAGCAGATTCAAGAAGGCGTCGTGTCAGGGCGAGAAGCACTGCAACACCATCCTTTGTGGGTGTTGTCCTGTCTGCTTTTCTACTGGTAGGTAAACGCTGTTGCTTGTGTCAAATCCCGCCAATTCAGCCTCACATCCACCCGCCTCTGGGACGGCTTCAGTCTCATCTCTTGT